CAAGGATTGCGCCGCAGGACCACCAGATTCAGCAGACTCCTCAACCGGGACAACTGACGTAAGTGGGGTGACGTGGGACACACCAGAGGGGGCACGACGGGGAGGGGGAGGAGGAGGGGCGGCGACGACCCGGGAAGGGGTGACCAGGAATAGGGGGGGGGTAACCGAGGGACCTTGGTGGGGGAAGCGGCGGAAGAAGGAGACGGACTCGTCAAAGTTGACGCCACAGGAGTGAAAGAACCGGTGAGACGGCGGGTGGTAGAAGTGCCAGTCAAACGCGTCAAGGGGGAAGCCGAGGAAGACACAGGGAAGGGTGCGGGCAGTGAGCTTGTCCGTGCTAGAGGCACGAACGTGAGCAAGGCAGCCCCAGACGTGGAACGCAGACGCATCACCAGGTGACCCAGACCAGAGGAGGGTCGGCGAAATCTGAGGCTGGTTGGGGTACGGTCACAGCTTAAGCTAGTGAGCGGCGTAGCGAACGGCGAACGGCCACAGAAAATGGGGTGCCCCGGCATGGATCATGGAGGTGCGAGCCACCTCCATGACCAAACCGATGCGGCGCTCAGCGACCCCATTCTGCTACGGGGAGTCCGGCAAGGTGAACGTCTGGGTGATGCCCTCCGCGTGACAGAAACGACCAAGGACACCAGAGGCAAACTTGCCACCACGGTCGGAGTGGAGACGCAAGACAAGGAGACTGCGGTGGACACACGTAGAGACAAGCCACGGGATAAGAACGGCAGGAACGTCGGCCTTCCGCTCCAGGGGGAACACAGTGGTGTAGCGCGTATAGTCGTCGACAAGCACTAGGAAGTAGCGCTCTCGATGCAGCCCATGGACGGGGGCGGGGCCCCACACTTCCATGTGCTGAGTCTTTAGCGGTGTTGCAGTAGGGGGAAACAAGGAGGAGTGAGGGGCACGGCGGAGCCAGCCCTCAACACAGGGCGTGCAAGGTGGGGCTGGGGAGGAGGGAAACTCGAGGAACGACCTGGGGAGGCCTAGGACGAGACCGTGCTGTGACATGCGACGCAGACGCGGGAGCGCAGGGTGTCCTAGGCGGTGGGGCCAGAGAAGAGTCGGGTGAGTGAGAGACCGACAGGAGTAGGTAGCAGCAACTGGGGGAGACGCAGTCACCTGAGGGGGGGTTCCAGCCGGGGGGTCACCGTGTCCAGTGTGAAAAGACTGGACACCGGGTCCCATGGGAACGTGGACAGGGGGGCACCAATGGCGGCCTCGGTACAGACAGCGTACCGCTCGTGTCCAGTGAACATAATGGTGACGCCAAGGTCCCGAAGGCACCTGACACCAACTAGGTTCCTGGAGAACGAGGGGATGTGCAGTCCTATGAGCGAGCCCGAAAGAACCGCCGGTCAGGGGAGGGTGGTGGAAGTGCTGGCGACTACTGGGCCGGAGGAGGGGTCAGCAAGAGAGACTGCAGTAGGGACAGGAAGCGGTGTCAACGTGGTGGAGTCGCGGAAGAAGCACCGGGAAGCACCAGTGTCGAGGGTGAAGCAGAGCGCGGCAGTGGTGGCCGGAGGCGAAGCAGCGACGGAAGCACCATGGCTAAACAAAGCAGGGGATCCTACGCCTGACGCAGCAGGGGAGTCTAAGCAAGGCACACCTACACTAGGCAACAAGGGGTAATAAGACGGAAGCACACTAGAGTCATCAGCATACATCACATGCAGAGCAGTAACAATCTCATGCATATCCAGATCAAAAATCTGAACCCTACGACGAAGAAAATTGTGCCAGTCTGGGAGCTCGGGCGACGGGCCGAAACGCTGACGAAACAGGTCGTCCAGGCGACGGAAACAGCGGACGGAGGTGTGGCCGATCTTACCGCAAACGAAGCCACGGCGAGGACCAATCTGGAGTAGGTACTGACAGCACGTGTCACCCGAACCACCACTCGGCAGCCCACCATGCGCACCACCACCACGTCCAGCGCTACCACCAGCGCCAGGCCACCCGGGCGGGAGACCACTCACCCGTCTCTGCTGCAGCTGCGACTGCTGCGGCTGCTGCGACTGCTACTTCTGACACGAGTCCGGCTGCAACGCCGGCGGCTGCTGAGACGGCTGCTCGGTTGCACCTGGCAGGGTCCCCTCGTCCGCATCACCACTAGGAGACCCAACTCCAACACAACCTACACCTACACCCCCTCCCCCGCCGCCACGCCCAGCCTTGGGGCGGCGACCCTTCCCCGGACGGACCTGTGCTGCAGCGGCAGTCTCAGCCACAGCAACAGAACCGTCAGAGAAGGTGCACTGAGCGGGGGCACAACCTTGAAAGATAGGGACCGGCACAGTACCGCTGGTCTGAGCGATAGAGCGGTGGCGGGCCTCTATAGCGGACAGGGTGTCAACAAAGTCAGTGAGGGTGAGGTCTGCGGGGTGGACGCTAAGGAAGTGGTCACGGGCAGTGGCAAGACGGTCAGGGAGGTGGGTGGCTAGCAGGTAGAGAGTAGAGGTGAGGGGCGGCTGGTGGGCTAGAAGCTGTGTGGGAGTGCAGGCAGCACGCCAGGTCTTGTCTATAGTGCGCAGGTGAGCGGCCAGGTCGGCGACAGTGGGGAATGACGCAAGGTCAGGGAAGAGCATGGGGAGGATTAGACGACCGACTGAGGCAGCAGGCGGGGTGGAATAGCGCTGGACAACAGCATCTAGGAAAGCCTGGGCAGTGGTGATAGACCTGAAGCGAGGTCGCACGGACACGGGGAGGGCATTGCTAATGGCAAGCTGGGCGACAGTGTCATGGGACAGCCAGACAGAGCGAGCAAGGGCAGCGGCCGCAGCGGACTCACGCTCAGCGGACGAGGGATCAGTAGACAGTGCAGCAGGGGGGTCAGGGCAGGGGAGAGTACCGTCAAGATGGACAGAGAGAGAGTGGCCATCTTGCCGCTGACCAGTGAGGTGGCGACGGAGGTCAGCAAGCCATGCATAAAACTCAATCGGCTGGCCCTCAGTGTCAAAGCGAAGCACCTCCGCCATCAGTGACAATAGAGGGCAGTGGAGAGCAGTACAGTGCGGTGAAGTGCAGCGCAGTGCAGTGCGATGCGGTGCAATGCAATGCGGTGCAGTGCGGTACAGTACGGTGCAGTGCGGTGCAAGGCGGTCTAGTACGGTATCGGGGGGGTTCGCAGGGGAGTGCTGATCGGGAGGAACGGGCCGAACCCGAGGTGGCGGCGGGCTGGCGACGACGCGAATGCAGGAGCCGGCCGGCGGACGGCAGACGCGAGGGGCCAGCAAACGGCGGCAACGGGGGCCGGCGAGGAGCTGGCGCGACGGCGAGTAGGGCCAGCCACGACGGCGAGGAGAGACGGCCGCGACGGCGGCCAGGGACAGCCGCGACAGCGGCTAGGGGCGGCCGCGACGGCAGGAGTGACCGTGAGGCGGCTAGAGACGGCAGCGACAGCAGCTAGGGGCGGCCGCGACGGCGAGGGGGCGGCCGTAAGATGGCTAGGGGCGGCCGTGGGACGGCAGGAAACGGGCGCGACGGCCAAGGGGCCGGCTAGGGGCGGATGCGACGGCCAGGGGGCCGGCTAGGGACGGGCGCGACGGCCAGGGGGCCGGCTAGGGGCGGGCGCGACGGCCAGGGGGCCGGCTAGGGACGGGCGCGACGGCCAGGGGGCCGGCTAGGGGCTGACGCGACGGCCAGGGGGCCGGCTAGGGACGGGCGCGACGGCCAGGGGGCCGGCTAGGGGCAGACGCGACGGCCAGGGGGCCGGCTAGGGGCGGACGCGACGGCCAGGGGGCCGGCTAGGGACGGACGCGACGGCCAGGGGGCCGGCTATGGGCGGACGCGACGGCCAGGGGGCCGGCTAGGGACGGGCGCGACGGCCAGGGGGCCGGCTAGGGTCGGACGCGACGGCCAGGGGGCCGGCTAGGGACAGGCGCAACGGCCAAGGGGCCGGCTAGGGGCGGACGCGACAGCCAGGGGGCCGGCTAGGGACGAGCGTGACGGCCAGGGGGGCGGCTAGGGGCGAACACGACGGCCAGGGGGCCGGCTAGGGGCGGATGCGACGGCCAGGGGGCCGGCTAGGGACGGACGCGACGTCCAGGGGGCCGGCTAGGGACGAGCGCGACGGCGAGGAGGGCCGGCTAGGAGCGGGGCACGACGGTGGCTAGGGCCTATGGGGCGGAAGCGTGGGCGGGCTAGGGGGGAACCTAACCTACTATGATACCATATCAGAAAGAATAATTGAACTAGAATGTGTGAGTACAAGGGTATATAGACTGTACCCTCTAAGGCACAATTCAGTATAGTCTACAGTAACAACCTATGTTACATTTGACACTAATCTATATAAATATTTTTGTTGACATTAAACAGCAAGGCTGGCAAAATGCATGCGGCTCGTCAGGAGGCCACATTTGGGTACCGCAATTTGAATTTCGCGGCAGAGTTGCGTGATAACCCTGTTATATCAGTGTATGCCTTACTAACTAATCAAGTAGGGCCCCACTTGGACGTTGCAAAATTACGTGCCACGTCGTGCAGCCCACGACGCGCGACACGAAACGAAATTTGCGAGGCACAATGTCTCATAAGAAATGCCACCTGGATTTGTTGTGAGTGTCGAATTGTGCAGGCTTCTGCCCAGGTCCGAATAAAAAACGAACCTTGACACAAAAGGGGTGCTGATGAAGAGGGGTCCCAACTTGATAACCCCTCTGCTATTTTGCCATTGGGTACAATATAACAACAGTGTAAGGAATTTTCCATTCCTTACCGAGCGGTACTGCTAGCGCGTATGCTCGAACACACCTGAAGCCTCGGGACTGTTCCAGACCTTCTGACAGAACCGCCTCGGTTTTTCCAGACTTACCGGTTCGACCTTCGGGAGTTCTCCAGGCCTCGCTTCGTCACTTCGAGACCCTTCGATCTCCTTCCCGAACCTTCCCATCGCATGGTTAGACTAGCTCTGGTGTTCCTATATCTTGGCTTGCCATTCCTTGTATCGTCATTCATTTGAGTGAACACTTCGTTATTCATTTCCGCGCTACTCTGCTTGTTCATTCATAACAAACAGTATAATATACAAAAATTGCAGAGTACATACAAGTACCATACTACGTACTACGTGGGGTCCTCGTCTATCTCCAAGGCACCCCTTTCCACAGATCCACCCAAAACATGTCTTCCTTCTCACTCCTCAAACCACTTCCACCTTTATCACTGCCACCATCCTCCCTTTCTGCCGTGTCCCCCCCTCCACCCACAGCACCCCTTCATCGATCCCTCTTCACGCAACACAGCCCCCTTCGTCCCCTGTCTCCTGCTTCAAACCCCTGCTGCTTGCCCGAGCAGGAAGATCCATGCTGCTTCCTTCCTCTTCCAACTCGAATTTTTTTCCAGCAGCAAGAATTTTGTCCTCCGCCTCTCCCTTGTCTTCAATGTCCTCCGGAGCACAATTACTGCCCTGCACGACCACACCTGCTCCAGGCTCCTCCACGCATGAATCTTCAGCGGCAGGAGAATTGGCTGCTGCATCTTCTATTCTTCCGGTCACCAGCCCTCCCAACCGTCCTTCTTCCAGCTCTCCCTTCGCTACCCTCCACACGCCAACACCCTTCCCTCCGCCAATCAGGTCCGTGTGAACCTTCCACTCCCACAACTCCCTCCCCTGTGGCACCACCCTTCCCCCCTCTCCTCCTCTTTCTCCTGCCACTTCCCCCTGTTTCGCCGTCCCATCACTCCCTTCCCTGCCTCCGACATCCCCGCCTCTGCCCTTCCCTCGCTCACTGAGCCCTCGCCTCCACGCCTGCTGCTTCCACTGCGCAACCAAGTGGTTTGCTCTCACCTCGCCTTGCCCCTGCTCCTGTCCCCTTCCCTGCTGCTGCTGCTGCTGCTGCTGTTGCTCTGTCGGCTGCTGCTGCTGCTGGTGAGAAAGTCCTTTCTCACCCTTCTCCCCTTGAACGCCTTCCTCCCCCACGGAATACAGCCACTCGTCCACGTCATCAAAGGAGGCCACGTTGGACGAGACGAGCGACGGGGGGGGCGGAAGAAAGGAGGGCCTGGGAGCAGAGGAGTGGGCAGCGGAGGGAGATGGGGGGCGTAGCCACAACGAGGAGGCGGGGGAGGCGGGGGAGGCGGGGGAGGCGGGGGACACAGAGGAGGAGGCAGAGGACGAGTAGGAGTAGAAGGAGACTGGTGTGGACTGGGGACGAGAGGGATACTGCGTGGAGGAGGAGGAGGAGGAGGAGGAAGAAGAGGAGGAAGAGGAGGAAGAGGAGGAAGAGGAGGGGGAAGAGGGGGAGAGACGGGAGCTGTTCCTCGCTTTCCATCTGGCGTGTGGAGTTTGCTTCTCCGGGCGAGGAGCAAAGAAGTCGAGGGTGAAGGTGGCGCGTGTTTGGGCGAGCTGGGCGGCTTTGGCGGGGTCGTGCAGGACGAGCGGGCGCAGGCGCAGCATGACAGCCAGGAAGAGGTGGAAGTGCTCCACCAGCCACGGCACGTACGTGCCATGCACGTCCGACAGCTGCAGATAACATAAGATCACGCCATGCCATGCCACACCATGCCATGCCATGTGATGCGATGAGATGTGATGTGACGACATGCCGTCGTTCGTGCCACGATGGTGGGTGCATGATGGAAGGAACGACGGATGAGACGAGCGAGATGCATCAGGCAAGAGTGGATGCCAAGCATGCGAGGTGATGCGCGAAAGCAGGTGCCACTAACTGGGCGATTTGTGACATAGCCTTGGCTCTCATTCTAACGGTAAAGCAACAGAGTCAAGACAGGAGACCGTTCACAGCACAGCACAGGCGCCTAGAAATCGTTCCTGGTGCACCTCTGCGTGCGGTGGGGGGAGAGGTCATATGCGGCATGGCAGCACTCACGGTGGGTCACATGGCAGCACTCACGGGGGGTCACATGGCCGCACTCACGGCGGGTCACATGGCAGCACTCACGGTGGGTCACATGGCACTCACGGTGGGTCATATGGCACTCACGGTGGGTCACATGGCACTCACGGTGGGTCACATGGCACTCACGGTGGGTCACATGGCACTCACGGTGGGCCACATGGCACTCACGGTGGGTCATATGGCACTCACGGTGGGTCACATGGCACTCACGGTGGGTCACATGGCACTCACGGTGGGTCGGCGGTTGTGCCTGCGGAAAAACAGGTCGCTCCACGGCTGAACGGCCGTTCGCAGGGTCACATAGCGAGGCAAGAGCGCAGGGAACCTGATGAAGCAAATTGGCCAGGCGGGAGAGGGATGTGGAGGGGAGGACAGTGTAGAGTTGCAGATTCGGAATTGTGGGAATGGAAAGAGGGGGCACAAACTTGCGACATCATGTATTGAAGGAAACACGGCTGGCCCAGGAAACATGCCATTTGAATCACGGGATTCCCTGCAAAACACGGCTGGCCATGGCCACTTGAAACACGGCTGGCCATGGCCACTTGAAACACGGCTGGCCATGGCCGTGAATCCTGGCCATGCCATTTGAATCACAGGATTCACTGCAAAACCCCAGGTGCCATGGCTTGTGTGGGCGTGTGTGTGAGCCGGCCATGAGACCTGACCTGACCTCACTGACTGACCTGGTAGACAGCCGCCGCACACTCTCATTCAACGACTCATCCACGCCCTCGTTGCTGCTGCCACTGCTACCACTACCACCAACGCCGACGCTGCTGCTGCTGCTGCTGCGTGCAGAGCTGAGAAGCCCCTCCCCATCGCTCTCCGTCCACTGCAGGCAATCACCCACAGCAGCGCGCCATTCCCTCTCTCCCACTGCTTCCGCTCCTGAACCCTCTCCTCCTGCTGGGCCCGCGCCCGCGCCCGCGCCCACGCCCACGGCGCCTGCGCCACCATTCCCCGTTCCCCCTGCCCCTCCGCGCGCATCCGCTCCCCGTTCCCCGTTCTCAGCTGGGGGAGACAGAAGCGCGTCCCCGGAGAGCGCCGTGAGTCCGTGCGAGCGCACAAGGCGGGCTGCGTGAAGCGCTGCCGGCTTGCCTCCTAGTCTATCCAGGGAGCTGGCGGTGGTGGCGGTGGTGGCGGTGGCGGTATGAGTGGTATTCGCCCGCTCCTTTCGCGCTCTTGACCTAGCAGATCCGCGTTTCCTGCCGACGTTCCCGCGGCTGCTACCCTCGATTCCCAGCGCATCGATTGAAATCGGTCCCGCGGAGGTACTAATGCCAGCGCATTCGGCGCCGTTGCTAACAGCCATGGCGCCATCGACACGCGCGGCATCACCACCACCGCCATCTCCACCGCTGCTGTTGCTGCTGCTGCTGCTCGCTTCGCTTGTGTCTCTCTCTACTCGTGTCGTTCCAGGGAAATCTCTTCCCCTCCCTGCATCGTCTCCGCACTTCTTGCTGCCACTCCCCTCCTCCTCGTCGCTCCCTTGGCCGCCATAGCTCCCCTGGCAGCAGCGACACCTGATAGAGGTGTTCGAACGAGCACCCCCGAACACGGTGCTTCGCGCGAATCCGGATCCGTCGGGTGCGGCAAGTACGGCGCCGGATTCACTGCGAGAGGGGTGCACGAAGAGCGGAGGAGCGTCCCTTAGCGGGTGCAGACTGCCACGTGGCGTTAGCGCATCGCGAACAGGGTCCGTACCGGCTCTTGACCTGGACTGCCTTGAATTGGTTATAGGCAGCGAGGGACTCCTGTTGGAGGCGCAAGTAACGTCCGGTGACACCGTCAGACGAACGACACGCGTGGAAAGGCTGCCGCCCATACCCGCCGCGCCAGCCATGCGAGCGCTTTGGTTAATATGGAGGTATGGCGATTCGATTGAGAAGGCATGATGGAAGCCAGTTTAGAGAAAAGTTGTGGGGTCGGGTGGGTCATATTTTGTTAAAGCCCGTCCTCCAAAAACACACATTGATCTAAAAAAGGACACAAGATAAAAGACAGACAAACTGGTTCTCCAATTCAGATAGAAAAGACGAAACAAAAGCATCATCCTACCATTTCATGGGTTTTCAGAAGCTACCATGTGATGCTATGAAAATAATAGATTCTCTTTCCTTGCTTTATGGCAACAATTATGCCTCTTTGCATCCCTCTTGCCACCAGGGATGTGTAGATGAAATGGATATTAGTTTAAACTCTACCAATTTTATGTTCCTAACAGTTACGGCTGTGGTAAAGTTACCATTGAAAATGAGTCTTGTTTGTAAGTGTTATCCACTTACTATGTGATCATACATGGCAGGGTATAATCCTCTTAGAGAGCCCGTCATAGAGAAGCGAGACAGGGGGCCAATGGAGTATCCTCTGCAAGCCGACGTGCCCATCATTTGTTGGGGCAAGAAGCAATGTTGTCTGCTGTTCGTGCTGGCACAGTACTCACGCGACAATCTTCGAGGGCGCCCGGCGCTGTAATTCATTGGTCAACTCAACTCAAGTCGGCTACGTGGCATCCAAAGGTGCAATGAGCGCTTCGTTGAAGCATACAACAACAAGCACGATTGCTGTACGGGTTATGGAGTACTGGAGAAATTAAGCCGTAAATATCGTCGTCACAGTTCGCTTAAACGGCTCGTGATTTCTCGCTCGCACTTTGAGGTGTATCTCATTATTTCGCGATTTATCCGCCAAGCTCCGGTAAAGCCCGCACCCCACCAAACGATCCCGAGCCTCTCCTTCAGACAGGTTACGTCCAAGCCGCACCTCATGCCTCGGTCAGTTTGCGATGGCACCACGGCAAAGCTCAACGAAGTTGTCGCACGCTTTGGCACCGCCCCACCTTCGAACCTCATTGGAACCGCCGAGCCTCACTACCCATGACATGGTTCGGCTCCCTGGGAGTTGGTTGGGGTGGTATGGTATGCCAGGCCCAGCAGGAAAAACTCTTTCCCTGGCCTGACTTCTCTAGCTGTTCCTGCTGACGCTTTAGTTGCGCCCTGTAATTCCGCCTTCTAGTAATCGTCGCCATTTTAGCCCCACCATTATCGTGAGGTAGTGCTGTTTCTGGTAGTTGTGGGAAGGTTTCTGCCATTTTCGTGCCGACTTTGTCTTACTGCTTATTTATTCTTGTTATGGTCGAGGTTCGGCCATAATCGGCTGGTACTCACGTGAAGAAAACGAACCACGTGAACATTTTAGTTATCGCACTTCTTAGTAAAAGCCGCCTTGCTGCAGCTAGCCATATGCCAGTTGCGTTGGCCATACGGAACACTTTCTAGATGAGTCTAGTAGAGCCAGCGACACAGCCGCTCTAATAATGTCCTAGTAGGTTCTATCCTCCATCAGTCCTCTCCGCTATTCCTAATACTTCAAGCGAAGTTACAGAGCAGCTATGGGCTGCTGCCAGAGCACGGACCAATTCCTTACCGAGGATGAAAGGCGTGCGAAAGACGCCAAGTCCGCCGCTACTCCTGCCCGAAACCGCGCTTCTGCAGCAACCACCGGCGAAGCGCCTTCCGCAACCGCAGCCGCTGCTGCCGCCGCTGCGGCAGCAGCGACAGCCGGAGCGCCGAACGGAGCTGCGCGCAAGAAGCCCGAAGGCGGGGAGCAGGCGCAGGAACAGGCGCAGGAGCAAGGGATCGAGGATGACGTCACCAGGGAGGCGGCAGCGGAAGTAGGGCCCAAGAGTAGCGATGTGGGGTTGGCTGCAGTCGTCGGCCTAGCTGCGGAGAGCGACGCTGCAGAGGGACGAAAAAAGGCCGCGAGCGAGGGGTCCAAAAGCGAGGAAGAAGGCTCGAAGAATGCCGAGGGAGCCAAGGAGGAGGACCAGGGCGTTAAAGACGGCGGCGGCGAGACGGCGAGTGGCACGCCGGGAACACCGGGAACGCCGGGAACCCCTGGAGAAGACTCTTCCCAGCAATCGGTAAGGGTGGGTCTGGCGGACTAGGGCGGGCAGTGCGTTTTGTGCCGTTTTTCCGGCGTGGAATCACCAGGGAATCTAGGGTTGAGCGTGGATTGCGCTCAGAGGGAATGATCGAGTGTAATGTGGTGCGGGATACGGGTGGAGTTGTGCTGAGGCGGCCCTCAGTGGTCCGAACTGACGTCCGCACTAGGTTCCTATCCTTCCGTTCCTCCGTTCCTCCGTTCCTCCGTTCCCCTCCCTGCTCTTGCTGCCCGTGCTCTCTCAAACGACTGCTCTCCTCCTTCTCCTCTCTATTCGTCCTCCTCTCTCTATGACTTCGTCTAGCGCGGCGTCGGCTGAGACGAATAGAAAACGGTGGACATAACGAGGGTTCAGGCAATGAAAGAGAGAGAGACAGAGAGAAAAAGACCAATAAAGGCTGGCCACACACTTTCCGTCTGTCTCTCTCATCGCTGTATCTCCGGAAGGGCGTCGGCAAGAGGGCACACATCCGTGCCTTGTCGGCGCGCCTCTTTTCCTCATACGACCAGCCTCTTTTTCCCCTTCCTCCCCGCTCCCTTGCTCCCATTTTCCCCCGCGCTTCCCCACTGCCTGTCCCGCCGTTTCCCTTTTTTCCCCGCGCAGAAGAAGTCTCTTGGCAAGGCCAAGAGCACGAAGAAGGGCAGTGGGAAGGAGAAGAAAGCGGGGAAGGAGAAGCCGGCGAAGGACACGGGCAAGGGTAGCAAGGAGAGCAAGGGTAAGGAGAGCAGCAGCAAGCGAGCCGAGGCCGCAAATGAAGGCGGTGGTAGCGGTGATTCAGCGGCCGGGGAGGAAGGATCAGCGGAGGGCGGGAGGGACGCCGGAACGAACCAGGCTCCGGACAAAACCACCTCCGCCTCCGCCTCCGCCTCCGCCTCCGCCGCCGCCTTCCCCGTCGCCGCCTCCGAACCCACGGCTGCCGCCGAGACTGGGTCGGCAGATGCGGAGGTCACCGGAGCCGCCACGTCATCATCACCGGCGTCCCACGCGGGGCTCCACGTGGACACCGCCATCGCGTCCGTCGTGGAGGATTTCTTCAGCGACGATCTGCCCAGCGCCACCGGCGGCGGCGGCGGCGGCTTCGGCAGCTTTAGCGGAAACGCTGCTGCTGACGTAAAGCCCGGGGAAGCGGAGGTGGACACGGGGGAGAAGTCCGCGGAGAGCGGGGAGAAAGGCGCGGCGCAGCAGAAAGGGGGGTTGGCTGAGAAAATCCGCGCAGGGGGGCGCGGAATGCTGCGATCGGTGTCTGCGGTCGCGGCGTCTCCGCGGGGGGGGAAGACACGAAGCGCGGACCTTCCGGAGGTGAGTCCGCGCGACCGCGGGTGGGGGCTGGGGTTCGCGCGCGCAAAGTCTGTTTCCGCCGGTGATGGGAAGAAGGGGAAGGGGAAAGACGGGGGGAAAGGGAAAGGGGCGGAGTCGGGTGGGAAAGCTGGCGCGGAATCGGACGTTTCGGATGCGCGGACCGAGGGGAGTGCGCTGAAAAGGGTGGAAGAGGGGGAAGAGGCGGAGAGCGGGGAAGGTGGGGGGAAGGGGGAAGAGGCCATGCGCGCGGGTGAAGGGGACAAGGAGGGGGAGAGGGGGGGAGAGGAGAGAGTTGAGGTGGGGGAACGGGAGAGTTTAGTTGGCGGGGAGAAGGCGGAGGACGGGGGGAAGAAGGGGGAGGAGAAGACGGTGGGAACGACGACGGTTGAAGGCGGGGAGGTGGATGAGGAAAAGGCAGAAAAGAAGGTGCAGAAGAAAAAGGACAAGAAGAAGGGTAGTGCAAGGGCTGCGTACTATGGGAGTGACGAGGAGGAGGAAGGGGAGGAAGAGGAGGAGGAAGCTGAAGATGAGGAAGTGAAAGGAAAGGCAGGAGAGGAGGTGGATAGTTCGGAGGGGGAGGAGAAGGCTGTGGGGGATGAGGAGGATGAGGAGACAGATGAGAAGGAGGAAGAGGAGAGGAGCAATGGAAGGGGGATAGCGAGGGAGGAGGCAGATGAGGAAGAGGAGCGAAAGACGAGAGCGCAGATGCGAAAGGAGGAGGAAAGGGAAGATGAGGAAGAGGAGGAGGAGGGAAGTAACTTGGAGCTGTTGCCGAGCGGGCAGAGAGCAGCAGCAGCCGCGGCGGCAGCAGCAGGAGTGGCAGGCGCGGCACGGAGGGGAGCAAAAGCCGGAGGGCGAATGATGATGGGCGAATCCGAGGCAGCATCCGCAGCCGTGCTGGGCACGGAAACCGGTCAACACATGGAGTCTCTGCGCAAGTCAGCTGCAGCCATAGTGGAGGTAGAGGGCGGGGGGGACGAGGTGGAGGCGGCGCTGCTCGCGGTGACCCCCTCTACGCGGGAGGAGCTGGCCGCCATGAGCCGCCTCGCGCCCGCGCTCGCCGCGGAAGCCTCCAAGCTCATGCACATGGGGGAGGCCATCTCCGCCACCATGCAGGCGCGCGGAAGGGCGCGCGAGCCGCTGCAGGACGGGGACGTGCTCGCGAGCCGCGAGCTCGCGGTGGCGGCGGCGGCGTTTGTGGAGCGCGCGAGCAGGGCGGGGTCGGGGGACGGGGCCGGGCTGGGGGGGTACGCGGTGGTGGATACGGTGGTGATGGGGGTCGTGGCGGGGCTGGCGGAGCAGGCGGCGGCGTACGCGCTGGCCGTTCTCATGGTGCACGCGGGCGCGCGCAAGGTGCAGGAGGGCGCGGACGTGGTGATCATGGCGGAAAGCACAGTGGATCTTGCCACCGCCGTGGTGCGGATCTTCGAAGCCATGGCGCCTGGGGGAGGCGGGGGACCGGGAGGCGGGTCCGCGGCGGGAGGGGGAGGCGGCGGAGGGGGGTGGGCGCGGGAGCGGGGGGCGGGGGCGGCGGCGGGGGAGGGGCAGGCGGAGCGGGGCGGGGGTTTGGCCCAGCGCCGGCAGCGAAACTAGCAGAGCTGGCGATGGGGCATTCCCGTGCACTGCATGCCAACATGCTGAAGCAGGCGTATTTAAAGGCGGCGGCGCTGGGCAAGCAGTTGGACACGGACGTTCTGGAGTTCGGCCCGCGCACCATCCACTTCTTCTCATCGCACTTCCGCCTGGCCAAGGACGCCACGGACATGGCGGCTGCTGCTGCTGCCAGCCTGGCTGCTCAGGCCAGCGCTGCTGCTGGAGGCACAGGGGGAGGAGGCGGAGACGGAGGAGGAGCGGGAGGTGGTGGTACGGCGGCTGCTTCGTCCGGCGGCGTTACAGCAGCGGACGTTGCCGAGATGGAGGAGATCAAGCGGCGGTCGCAGGCGCACGCAGACCGCGTGTGCGAGACAGCCGGGGAGGTGGACAACGGGATTCTCCTGGAAGGCGCCGAGCTCGCCACCATAGTCGCAGCTCTCTCCCGGCGCCAGCAGGAGGAGCAGGTGTGTGGGAAGAAAGGCCCTGTGGCCAGCGCGGTCGGGGAGGGCGCTGCAAGGCTCATCCGCAACTCTGCGGTGATGCTCGCGTCGCTGGCGGACCGGCTGCAGAGGGGCGGCGGCGGGGTGAACAGGGGGATTGTGGCAGAGGCGGCGTGTGTGCGTGCGCTGGCGTGTGCCTACACCAAGCTGCTGATCCTCGTGGTGAGAAGCAGCGCTGCTGTCGGCGGCGCAAGAGGGGAAGGTGGCGGAGACGGAGCTGGAGGCGGGGGAGGGGGAGGAGGAGGTGGGGGAGGGGCAGCGCCGCCCCTGAGTTGGCGGAGCTTTCCCGGACTGATCATGGATCCGTCAGCTGTGGCCGCGTACGCCAAGCTGAGCGGTATCGCGGCTGCCTTCTCCGCTAAAGTCGCTGCTGCAGGCGCTGCAGGCGGGCTGGATGGGCTAGGAGGAGGCGGAGGAGGCGGGGGAGGCGGGAAAAATGCTGCAGCTGGTAAGGTGACGGAGGGTCTGGTGTGCGACGCTGCGGTGCTGGTGATGACGGCGTGCAGCAACGCCAAGCTGTCCCTGTCCGCGGACGGTGGTGCGGCTGGCGGCGGGGGCGGGCTGGGCATGGGGGGAGGAGCGGGGGTGGCGGGTGCGTTCCCTGTGGAAGTGGTGGATGAAGGGGCAGAGCTGGCTACTAAAGCCAAGGCGTATGTTGCTAGTCTACAGCAGAGACTCAGGGCAGCAGCAGGAGGGGGTGGTGGGAGTGGGGAGAACAGGGAGGGAGTGTGGGACGCCAAGCTGGTGACCGAGTGCCTGCGTGTGTCCGTCCTAGCAGGAGCACACGCACGGCAAGTTGTAGAACGAGCTCGGCAAATCATGGCTTCCGGCGCCGGCCCTTCCTCCTCTGTTGCTGCCTCTGCCGCCTCACTCCGAGTGGCACAGCTGGCGGAGCGGGCGGCGCTGCACGGGCGCATGGTGCTGCACAAGTGGACAGAGGACGCAGCAGTAGACAGCAAAGCCGAAGAGAGTGCGCGGGCGCTGGCCGCACTAGCGGACGCACACCTCTCGGCGCTCCAGTCCTCGGCAGGAGAGCAGCCGGAAGTTCCCTTCTTCCTCGCTGTCCGCTCTGTCGCTCTAGCAGAAGAGGTCTCTGTGCTGGTCCAGTCCCTGGCGCAGTGGCGTGTGAACGGGACGAGCATCGGGCTGTCTCTCGTCAACGGAGTGGTTCGTGTTGTCGGGTCCGTTGCCCAACACGTGATCGATCTACAATCCGCCAACGCCACTGTGCGCTCTCTCGTCGGCTGGGACGCTGCAGTGGTGGCAGAAGAAGCCGGCAAGCTGGCCTGGCAGCTGGCCACGCAGGCAGCAGCGGGGGACCCGGTGTCAGAAACCCTTCTAGTGGATGCAGCAGGGTTGCTGTACCGTACGGTGACGTACGCGCGGTCGGTGCAGTCCATGGCGCAGCAGGGGAATTACTCCGACCCGTGCTTGGTGCTGGAGGCGGTGGAGTGCGCGGATCAGGCGCAGCACAGCGCAGCAGCCGTCGCATGGGCGCATGACCGAAACGTAGCCGTGAATACGGATCTCACCGCTTCGGCGTCGCGTCTTTCCGCGGCGCTGGTTACCCACGCGTCCCGGCTGCGGCACGAGGCGGCGTCTGTCGGCCCGTTTGCAGTTGTAGCAGCAGACGCAGTAGCCGGGGATGTAGCAGCATTGGAGATGAACCTGCGCGCTCGGCTGGCGGAACGTGGCAAGACGGACAAGGCTCTGGCTGTAGCAGCAGCGCGCGTGGCGTCCCGAGTGGGCTCCCATGTGCAAGTGCTGGGGGCGGGGGTCCCGGGGGCGGATCCGGCCCTGGCGGCAGCGGCAGTGGCGCTGGCGAGTCAAGTGGCGAAGCACCTGCAAGTGCTGGCGAGTAAAGCGGCTGCTGATGGGATGGTAGATGAGGAGGTGGAGAACGCGGCCTCGCATCTGAATACTCTAGCTGGGGGGCATAGGGTTGCGCTGCAGGCTGAGAGCTGGTTCGCGGGACAGGCGGAGGAAGGGAGGGAGGAGGAGGAGGGGGGGGGGGGAGAGAGGGAGGGGGAGGAAGGTGGAGTGGATGTGGCAGCAGGGGGCGCTGTGGCGGCCCTTCTGGCTGCTATTACAAAAGGTCCCACAGCCGACGGCAAGAGCAACGGTACCACCACCTCTGCTGCTGTAACCAACGGAGTCCTTGCCATAACCCGAATGACCTCGTCGGTGCGAGTGGCCAAGCTAGCAGAAGCCGCTGGGCAGCACGCGCAGGAGCTCTGGGACAAGTGCACCAGCAGCACAGCAGTCGACAGCGACGTCCTCGCAGGGGGCGCGAGCCTCCTCGTCCTAGCAGCCGGCCACGCGCACGCACTCCAAGTCCAGGCCACTAGGTGCGGCTGGGCGGATCCTGCATCCGTCGCCGAAGCGCGGGAGCTGGGCGAGCTGCTAGTGGTGCACGTGCGCGCGCTGGCCGCGCGGAAAACCGAGGGGATAGGGGTGGATGCGGCGGTGCTGGCGGAAGCAGTGCGGGTGACTGCGGGGGCGGTGGCGCACGCGCGGAGACTGCAGTTCCAAGAGGCGTCGGTGGGGTTTGGATCGGTGGGGGACGCGGTGGGGCTGGCGAAGCAGATCGCGGGGCACCTGCAGATGCTGGCGGGGAAGGCGGCAGTCGGGGCGACTGCGGACGCGACGCTGGTGGGGAATGTGGAGATGTATGCGGGGTTGGTAGAGGGGCACGTGCGGAGCCTGCTGGGTAGATGCAGGAAGGCGTGGGGCATGGGCCCGGCTGCTCTGGCAGCAGCAGGCGGAGCAGGAGCAGGAGGAGGGGTGGCAGGTGTGATGGACGATCCGGGGTTGGCGCTGGTGTCGGTGCAAGTGGCGGCGCATGCGGCGTTCTACGGCAGCCTGCTGCAATTCCAAGCAGCAGCCAAGGCCAAGGTCAGCCGCGAGGTCCTCGCAGTAGCACAGGCTTTGTTAGAAGCCGTCACGGCTCTCCGCCAGGGGCTGGTCCCTCGTGTGGAGTCCGGAAGCGTGTTTGACGACGACTGCGTCACTCGCGCAGAGGAGCTCGAAGCCCAGGCGAAGATGCATGCACCGGCTGCTGCTGCTGGCGCTGGTGCTGGTGGGCGTGGTGCTGGTGGCGGGGTGGGAGGAGCGCTGCTAGCGCTGGGGAGAGAGGCGACTGTGAAGGTGGCCGCGGACGGGGCTCGCCTCGGGGCGAAGGCAGCGTCGCTGGCGTCTCGGCTGGTCACGAGAACGATTGCCACTGCGGCGTTTCCTGCTGACGCGGGAGTGGAGGCGCAGCGGGTGGCTGAGCTGGCGCTGAGTCAGGCGGATCTGCTAAAATCGGTGGCCAGGAACAACGCGCAGATCGATGCATCGACGGCTGTGGCGGCGTTTCGGGTGGCGGTGCAGGCGTTCCGGCTAGGGAAGCGGATGCGAGAGCACGGGGGGGAGGAGAGGACGGTTGTGTTCAAAGGAGAGATGGTAGCGGAAGGGCTACAGGTCGCTGAAGAGGTGCTGAAGCTGGCCGGCGATCTTTCAATCCTGGCCATTGATCATCCGGATCTCGCGTCCACGCACGTCGTCACCTATGCGAACGTCACCGCCCGTGTGGCAGGGCATGCTCGTATCGTTGACGGGCAGAGGTCTGCCGCTGCTGCTGCAGCAGCAACTGCAGCATCAGCAGCAGCCGTGCAGAACCCCCAGTCCGCAGTCCCTGGCATGGGGGTTCTCTCCCCTGTCGGGCCACCGAGCATGTCTGGAATCCCCCCTGCTTCGCCTAGAGGGGGTAGGCTGTTTGGAGAGCGGGGCAGTCTCAGCAGTGTCGCTGCTGCAGCAGCAGCCGCAGCTGGTGCTGGCGCGGCCGCAGCAGCAGCAGCAGGGTCAGCAGCCACAGCAGCAGCAGCGTCAGCAGCGGCAGCAGCAGGCGTGCATGCGGAGCTCTCGTGTTCCGTTGCCCGTCTGCTAGTAGACGCATCGGTGGAGCTAGCAGCGGCTGTAGCAGGGAAGGAAGCCAAGGGGGCTGTGGACGCTCCGGCTGTAGCGAGAGCAGCGCACCTGGCGGCACGAGCAGCAGACCATGTGCTAGCACTAGTGAGCTGGGCTGCCCCAGCAGGGGAGGTTCCCCCCGACCTTATCGCCCGTGCTTCAGTCCTGCTAGAGGTCGCCGCGGCACACACGCAGTCTCTAGCTGAGAAGGCAGTGGCCGGAACCAGGGTGGACGCCTCGTGTGTGACGACCGGCGCGTTGCTCACAGCGGACTCTGCTACTCATGTGGACGCGCTGCGATCCGCGCCCCGTGTACTGCCAGCTGAGGTGTTCTCCGATGTGGATGCGCTGGCCGAGGCCGCCAACATGCACGTGGATATCCTTGCATCTAAAGCCGCGTCCGGCATGGGCAGCATCGACTCTATCACGGTCGTGGCATCTGCTGCGCTGGTCGCCTCTGCCGCAGTCCACACCTCCAAGCTGCAAACCCTCGCTGTGGCAGCCGTGGCAGCCACCGCTGCCACCCCGATCCCGGCCGCGCTGCTCGAATCTGCGGAGAATCTTGTCGAGGACGTGGAGGTGCATGTGGAGTCTCTCACGTCCCTCGCAGCAGCGCCGGCTGCAGCAGCTGGTGGGGATGCAGGGGAGGAGGGAGCAGGAGCAGCGTCGCCAATAGCTGACTCTGAGACAGCAGCGGAGGCGTCGAGTCTTGCGTGTGTGGTCATGGGGCACGCCAGGCAGCTGTACCTGGCGCTGCCGCAGCTGGGCTTGCCTGCTGTGTGTGCGGGGGTTGCGCTGGCTAGAGATGCGGCTGCTCACGCGGAGGTGATTGCGAGGAAAGTGGCGGACGGGGAGGCGGTGACGGCAGCAGCGGTACGGTCGGCGGTGCGGCTCCAGGCGGGGATGAAGCATCATCTGAAGATGTTGCGGGAGAGGCGCGAGGCTGCTGCTGCTGTCGGTGCTGGCGCTGCCGCTGCTGCTGCTGCTGCAGGTGGAGGGAGGAGGAACAGGGATGCTTATCTTGAAAATGACGAGGGTGATGATGATAATGATGATGACGATGAGGATGATGATCTGTCGGGTAGGAAGAAGGCACAGAAGCAGCAGCAGAAGAAGAAGGCGGCTGGTGCTGCAGGGCAGTCTCAAGCAGCAGCAGCAGCGGCAGTGATGAGTGGAGCAGTGCTAGCCGGGCTTGTGCTGTCGCACGCGCTGTTGACAGAAGCCAAGGCGGCAGCAGGCGAGCGCATGGACACAAACATGTTGCTGCGAATCACCACCAGCCTCTCTGACGCCTCCTCAGCCCATCTCCAGGCTCTGGCACTCGCCACAGCTGCATCAGGCGCAGGCCTTTTCAAGACCATGACAGGTGGCGGCTCGCAGTTGGCCAAGAAGATCTCCACCCATGTGGATGCCCTGCGAGGGAGAGCCTCGGCTGGCGGGCGCATCGACTCTGGGCTGACAGCCGTCGCCCTGCGATTGGCCGTTGACGCGGTGGCGCATGCTGCAAGCCTTGAGGGGACTGTCTTTCAGGGTGGTTTGGTGGATGGGGGAGGTGGGGCTGGGGCGGGTGGGAGTGCAAGGAACTTTGTGTCTGCTCAGTCACTCAAGGAGGCGAGGTTGAAGGGTGCTGGGGCAACTGGTGCTGGTGGTGCTGGTGGGAAGGGCACTGGGGCAGGTAGTGGGTTCAAGGTGGATGGTTTGCAGGCGCACGTGAAGATGGTGGAATCTCGTGTGTCAGATGCCATGCCCGTGGACTTGAGGCTGCTTTCAAGTGGCACTTCGCTGCTTGCGTCGCTGCTTTCCCACTCGCGCCAGCTTACGGTGCATTGCGCCTTGATTATGGGAAGCAACGGAGGGAACAGTCGTGGATCTCTTGCAGGCGTCGGCGGATTGTGATATTGGTCACTGCCAGCTTCACGTAGCTTGCACTAGGTGATGGAGTTCTGCTTCCATTCGTGATAAGTGGCTAACATTATAGTATTTTAGGCGACAGGGTGGGTGTTAGGAGTGAATGGGGCGAGGCTTTGCTTACATCAATGCCTTAGTATTAGAAATATTGGAAGAAGTTTGAAAAATTCCTTCCATTATTTTATAACTCACAATCCAGGCATCTGAAACAAGAAAATGTACTCTGCTTGAATGTCGCGTTAGGGAAGGGCATCGAGAATTCATATTCCGTGGCCTGGGGAATCAGAGTTCGAGGCCAGTGATAGGCGGAATTGGTTGCTGACATCGGCGTTTCAACGTCAGGCCAGCTGAAGTTGACGTGTCAACCTCCCCTTCTGCGTGGTTCGGGTTCAGCATCTTGTGTCTGTCTGAACTGAATGAACCGAATGGCAGGAAGGACAGTGAGGTGGTCCCACCCACCCACCCACCTTCAGCCAAGCTTCCTTATTTCGCCGAACCGCGGCAACTCCGAGGACACATGGCACATCAGGAACACTTCTTCTGTCTGTGGGCCTCAGCTCCCCATCAAGGCTTCTGGCTGTGTCTGTTGCAGCGCATTGCTGGTTGCATTGCATACAATATTAGCATTTCCAGCAACCCGTATATGCTTTGGCTGCGGTTGTTCCATCCCACGCCAAACCTGCCTGCGCTCCCGAGGCCGCTCCCCAGCCAACAGCCAGCAGCCAGCAACCAGCTCCGCAGCTCGTGTTTCAGGTAGGAGCGATACGCAGACCAGGTCCCGAGCTAGCCTCCGCCGGTCCTCTCATCCGGCCGTCCGCTCTTCCGCCCGCTCCGCTCATCCGCCCCTCCGCTCACCATCATCTAATCATGTTTCTCCGCGTAGCCGCCAAGCGTCAGGCTCACTGCGCGCCGTTGGCGGGAGCCATCTTCGCGCCTCAGCTTTCCGGTTTCCTTTCCGCGCCGTCCGCTTCAACCACCGCCGCTGCGCTCCCTACACCCACCGTCGCCTGCCGCCCTCCAATTAGCGAAGACCACGTGGCCGTAGGTAGTCGGGGATACCACAGCGTAAACGCAGGTCGCGCCAGCACGTTTCCAGTGAAGGTACGATCCCATAGGCCCGATGGGATTCCTTGTTGCTGTCCGGGGTCCTCCCCTGGCAGTGTGCGAATTAAATCGTTTCATGTTCAGGAGTTTCACGTGGCTCTTGGAAAAGTGCTAACCATTTTTTTATTTTTTTATTTAAAAAATAAAAAATAAAAAAAATCCGGCTGAATTTGCTGGCCGGAGCTTCTCGTTTGCTGCGTATGGTACAAGTGGGCTGGGTCGTATTAAGCGATTTGTCGACTCCAGACGCTCACATCTTAACGAGTACGTCATGAATAGCCCCATGTCCGAAGCACCGTTTTCGGGAGCTCCTGCTGCTATCCCTACTTCTCAGTGTTCAAACTTCCTCGGACCCGTCTTGCAGGTGCCACGTCAGCCCGCCGGCTGGCGCGGGTTCTCCGCTTCCGCGTCAGTGGCGCCTTCCCCCACTGGCAGTCCCGCGGGAGCTCCCAGCGCTGCTCCGGCGGCTAGCGAGGGGGACGTGGTGAGTGGGGGAGAGGCGGGGTGGGATGCAAGAGGGGCGTGGAGGGTGCATGGGGCTCTGAAGTCTGGGTGGATGAGATTCGTTGGCCGTAGTTGCCTAGTGACGTTATTTAGTCGGTTTGGATAAGAGGTGACTTTTGATCGAATCCTCCCCGCGCGTGATTACAAGTGTATCGTCACTCACCTGGAATGGATTGTTTTATCAATGAGATTCAACGCACCTACGCATACTCGCATACCCGCAAGCACGTCACTCGTGCGAACGTGCTCTCACACCTGCGTGATCCTCATCTCCCGCCTTTCCCCTTTCCCCTTCCCCCCTTCCCCCCCTCCCCCCTTCCCCCCTTTCCCCCTTTTCCCCTCTTCCCCTTTCCCCCCTTTCCCCCCTTTCCCCCCTTTCCCCCCTTTCCCCCCACCCCGCACCTTCCCTCCCCTATGACATGTCAGCCGCGCGTGAAGCTGCTGATAGGAGGCGAGCTGGTGGAGTCCCGCTCCGACCACCATGTTCCCGTCATCAACCCTGTACGCCTCGATCTGACACACACTCATCACACACGCGTGACACACGCATGACACTCTTGTTGTGACACAATCATGACAAGCACTTGAACCGTAAGCCGTTTCAAAACTGCCAGAGGTATGTGGCACTACTACCAACCGACGCATGCTTGCAGCTGTGCCTCTCAGCTGCTCTGCGGTCGTGACACACCAACCCTGTCCTCCCCTCTTCTCGTCTCCACAACGCCCCCCCATCTCCCTCCGCTCTCCCCCCCCCCACCCCCTTCCCTTCCTCCCCCCCTTCCTCCTGTCCGTCCCCAGGCGACACGGGAGATCCTGGCGCACCTTCCGCTAGCCACCCACGTGCGACGAGTTTCATGGAGCATTGCTTGCAGCCGCTGATGCCTCTCCGGCGCACCCCTTTCCCTTCCTCCCGCCCTTTCCCAGGCGACGCAGGAAGTCCTGGCGCACCTTCCGCTAGCCACACGCGACGAGTTCAGTGCAGCAGTGCGCGCGGCTGCGGATGCCTTCCCCGCGTGGCGCGCCACTCCGCTGCCCGTGCGCGCGCGCGTCATGCTCAAGCTGCAGGCGCTCATTCGCCGCGACATGGTGGGCGAAGGGGTGGCGTGGTGGGCGGAGGGGTTATGTGGTGGGTGTGGGGTGGGGGTGATGTGGTGGGTGGGTCGAGGTTTTCTGAGTGTGTGCGTGGGTGGGAGAGGAAGGCTGGGGAAGGGCTGGGAGAGACAGGCTCGTCTCTGTGCCCTTTCAGAGCCCTTCCCCTCATCCCATGTTCTCCCACCTTCCTTCCTTCCTTCCTTCCTTCCTTCCTTCCTTCCTTCCGTCCTTCCTTCCTTCCATACTTCCTTCCTTCCGTACTTCCTTCCTTCCGTACTTCCTTCCTTCCGTCCTTCCTTCCTTCCTTCCTTCCTTCCTTCCGTCCTTCCTTCCTTCCTTCCTTCCTTCCGTCCTTCCTTCCTTCCTTCCTTCCTTCCTTCCTTCCTTCCTTCCTTCCTTCCTTCCTTCCTTCCTTCCTTCCTTCCTTCCTTCCTTCCTTCCTTCCTTCTATTCCTTCGTTCCTTCCTTCCTTCCGCTCCCTGCTTCCCGGTGCATGCATGCGCCACCTGCGCCACAGGACCGTCTGGCTCTGAGTGTGACAACGGAGCAAGGCAAAACACTAGCGGATGCTCGAGGAGACGTCTTCCGAGGACTAGGTGCGTGCGTCCGCCCGCTAGCGTCGTGGGACGCACTAAACGCCCTCCTACCTTCCTCTTCCCGGCACTCCCTCTTTCGCTTGCTCACTCTTTCCCTCACTTCCTCTTTCCGTAACTCTCTCTTTCCGTCTCTCCTCCTTTGACTCGCTGCTCGTGTCTCAGTTGCCAGGCTCCTCTCCTGCTTTCTCTCCCTTTCCCTCCCTTTCCTGCTTTTCAATTCCCTGCTTGATAATCACCGGAAATGAGTATTAATGAGTTCCCTGTTCATGGAAGGGTTAGGTACCTATCGATGTCTGAGACTGGCACGTGGCGTGGTGGTACAGGTTCTTGCATTATCTCATCTGCATGACATGCCATAAGCACCTTGCTGGTAAGCATGAGCTCACACACTGCCCATCACCACACCCGGCCCATCCTTATTCTTTGCGGCAAAGGTGGTGGAGCGGCCGTGTGCGATGGGCAGGATGCAGATGGGCGAGCTGCTGGAGAACGTGAGCGGCCCCCCTGACTCGCCACTCCTGTTGAGGGGCCAGGAGGCGTGTGATAGCAGGATATTGCGCAATATCCTCTCTCATCTGATCTGATCTGCAAACCTGCCCCCTCCTTCCCCAACCTCCTCTCCCCCTCTCTCCCTCAAATTCCCGTTCTCCTCCCCTCCGTCCCATCCGGCCCCTCTGCCCCTACTCGGTGCCCGTCCTCCTCCCCCCATGTGTGGCGCCGCAGAGGTGGTGGAGCAGGCGTGTGCGATGGGCACGATGCAGATGGGCGAGCTGCTGGAGAACGTGAGCGCGGGCGTGGACACGTACAGCATGCGCCAGCCGCTGGGGGTGTGCGCCGGCATCTGCCCCTTCAACTTCCCCGCCATGATCCCCCTCTGGGTCAGTCTGCTCAGTCTGCTGTAGATCACCACCAATACCTGCCCTTCTGCCCTGTTGCTGTTCAGTGACTCCTCACCGCTTTTTGGCCTTATTATTTCTACTGCTTGTGCTTCTCACCTCTTACAAACCTTCTTTTTTCACCTTGGTAGGTATTGCTCATCTATATATTACCATTGCCAGTTGTCCGGCCGTTCCTTCCCATGCTCCTTGCCTTGCTGCTACAAGCTCGCTCATCTCGTCTCTCCCATTGCCTCCCCTTCTCTCCCGGGCCCCACCACTCCGTTCATTCCCATCCCATTGTAATCTCTGTCAGCGCCATGCCCATGTTTCTCCCATCGTAACCAGGGCTTGCGCTCCTTCCACCTCCTCTCCACCCCCCTGCACTAATACTACTCCCTGTGCCGTGTGTGTGCCTCTTTCAGATGTTCCCGTTCGCGGTGACGGCCGGCAGCACATTCATCCTCATGTTTCTCTAAATACTCCACTGCATTGCTTTGCTTCTCATGTCTTGCTGCACTGCGCCTCCCTTGCTCCCTGCGCCGTGTGTGTGCCCCTGTCAGATGTTCCCGTTCGCCGTGACGGCGGGCAACACCTTTGTCCTGAAGCCGTCTGAGAAGGACCCTGGCGCCGCCATGATGCTCGCCGAGCTCGCGCTGGAAGCGGGCTTGCCGCCCGGCGTGCTCAATGTGGTGCACGGCACGCATGTAGGTGCCGTGGTGGTGGGTGATGTGGGGTAGGCATGCTACGTGGTGTGTGGCGCGCATGTAAGTTGTGGCACGCGATGGTGCTTCATATCATTGTTAAGTATGCTGGTCGGCACGCATGTAGGTGGTGTGTGATGTGGGGTAGGCATGCTATGCGATCCATGGTATAGGATCGATGACCGCCGTATGTACATGGCACACGATGTCTTGCACGCATTGATGAGATGAGATGAGATGAGATCAGTGTCTCATCCATGCGTACTGATTCTCTGCGTACTCTCAAGCTCATCTCACCGATTCCATCTCTCTTTCCTGCTCCTGCGCTTCTCCTTGCCATGCCGTGCCGTGCCATGCCATGCCGTGCTATGCTGTGGCAGGACGTTGTCAATTGGATGTGTGACGAACCCGAGATCCGGGCAATCTCCTTCGTTGGATCCGACAAGGTAGAGCATCTCACCCACCCTCCCATTCAATCCACACACTCTCATTCCATCCCATCCAATTCCATCCTCTCGTCATCGCATGGCATCGCGTGGTATTTCAGCACATGCTTACTCACTGCTTGTTCTCCATTCTGTTCACTTGCTCCCCACATGCACTTAGCGCCAGCGCATCGCAACTCCCTCTCACCTCTTCTCCACTTCTCCGCCTCTTCCCCCCTGCACCCACCTCCCATTTCCCTCGTGTGTGTGTGTGTCCGTCCATGCCACCCCATGCCAGGCGGGGCGCCACATCTATGCTCGAGCAGCAGCACACGGCAAGCGAGTGCAGGTCAGAGGCTTGCTGCAGCAGGCAGGTTGTAGACGCAGGCAGGTTGTAGACGCAGGCAGGTTGTAGTCGCAGGCAGGTTGTATGCTCAGGGGGGGTAGTAAAGCGAGGCAGGAGCAGGTGGTTTTTTTTTGTGAGGCAAGTGTTCTTTCTTTCTTCCTTCCTTTCTTTCTTTCCTTGGGTTTCGTCTTTCCACCTTTGCTCAATTCATTGTCTCCCTTCTATTTTCCTGCTTCCCCTTCTCCTCCCACATTGCCATGGCAACACCTTCTCCCCTTATCAGTGCAACATGGGGGCGAAGAACCAAGTTAGTGCAACACGCAGCACGTGAAGCCAGATGCATTCTTTCTTCCCACCGCTCTTTCTTCCCTGTACACTCTTACGCTGGCCTTCCTTCATACCCGTCTCCCCCTCTCCGTGCCCCAGTGCATCATGGGGGCAAAGAACCACGCTGCGGTGTTTCCAGAAGCCAACACACACTTGGCTCTGTTCCATTCCCCTACGCAATTCTCTTCCCTCTCACCCTCGCTCCTCGTCTCGCCCTTTCCTTCCATCAGTGCAACATGGGGGCGAAAAACCCCGCTGTGGTGCTACCAGACGCGGAACCACACTGCAACAATTCCTCTTCCACGCACCTTCATCCCCCCTCCTTCCCTCCCTATTCTCCCCACGTCTCCCCACGTCGCCCCCCGTCTCCCCTCCCGTCTCCCCTCCCGTCAGTGCAATATGGGGGCGAAGAACCACGCCGTGGTGCTGCCAGATGCTGACCCACAGTCAGCCGTGAATGCGCTGGTGGGGGCGGCGTTCGGAGCGGCAGGGCAGCGCTGCATGGCCATCAGCACAGCTGTGTTCGTTGGGGGCTCAGAGCAGTGGTGCGTGGAGAGAGAGTGGGCAGGGGAGAAAGATTGGGAGAGGGAGAGATTGGGAGTGGTGTGCGCAGCGCATGAGAGGGGGAGGGGTGAGCAGAGAGCGGAGAGCAAGTAGGGGAAGAGTGAGGGGAGGGCGAGAGGGAGAGTGAAAGGATGCGAGGTCATGACAGCTCAACTCACAAGCAACTCTCTCTTCCCCAGGGAGCCTCTCTTCCTGGAGCCGGCATCGCGCCTGCGAGTAACAGCGGGCACGGACCTTGCAGCTCCAGCTCACCACCTCGAACGCTCCCTTTCCTCTCCCTGCCCCAGGGAGCCTCTCCTTCTGGTGGTGGTGTCACGCCTGCAGTTGTCGGTGGGCACGGACCCTGCAGCTCCAGCTCACCACCTCCCCATCTTCCCTTCCTCCCCCCGTCGCGTTCTTTCTCTCCCCCCAGGCAGCCTCTTCTGCTGGAGGCGGCAGCATCTCGCCTGCGCCAGTATCCATGGGCACGGACCCTGCGGCCAGCGGACCTGTTTATACGCAGCAGGAGTTTCCACCTCCCATCATCCCCCCTCCCCTTCCATTCCCCTCCAGGGAGCCTCTCCTCCTGGAGGCGGCGTCGCGCCTGCACGTGTCGGTGGGAACGGACCCTGCGGCGGACCTGGGCCCGGTGATCTCGAGGGACGCAAAGGCGCGCATCCACGCGCTGGTGGACAGCGGAGTCAAGGACGGCGCCCGCCTGCTGCTGGACGGCCGCAACGTGCAGGTCAGGGAAGAGAGGTGCAGGCAAGGTTGGGAAAGGTTGGGGAAGGTTTGAGGAGTTTAGGGGAGTTGTGGGGGGGTTCGTGTGGTGGGAAGGGATGGGGAAGAGGTCACGAGGTGACCGACTGGATGGATGCCTGTGAGGGGGGCGTGAGGCTGCCTGTCATACTGAAAGGGGGGAGAGGGGGGCGTGGGGCTGCATCCACCAGATTTCAAGGGTGAGTGGGGGTTTGAGTGCATGTAGCACCAGCTTCCTTGCACAAGCCTTTTCATTCACATCTCCCTTTAGATGCCCTCATCGCCCTCTCACATCCCCACCTTGCCTCTGCTTCCCAACCACACCTTCCTTCACTCCACATCCTTGCCCTGTAAACTCTCTTCCCTCCTTGCTTCCCCTCCTCCCCTCCTCCCCTCCTCCCCTCCTCCCCTCCTCCCCTCCTCCCCACCTCCCGCCTCCCCTCCTCTACCCACTCCCCAGGTGCCGGGCTACGAGAGCGGCAACTTTGTCGGTCCGACAATTCTGGCGGATGTGAGGGAGGGCATGGAGTGCCACCGGGAGGAGATCTTTGGCCCCGTGCTGCTCCTCATGAGCGCCGACTCCCTCGATGACGCCATTGCGCTTGTCAACCGCAACCCCTATGGCAATGGCACCGCCATTTTCACCAGCTCAGGCGCAGCTGCCAGGAAGTTTCAGAATGAGATTGATGTTGGGCAGGTGAGGGGGGGGAGTTGGGAACAGGGGGGATGGAAACAGGGGAGTTTTCTAGACTGTCTAGAAAATGAAACCAGCTTCTTTAGGCTAGTTCTGTTGATGGAGGTCCTGCCGCAGTTGGAGCGGTGGTACGGTGTTCCCGTCCCATCAAATCTCGGGTTCTCCAAAGAGTTTATAACGGAATCTGCTGTAGTTTCAACTGTTGTTCTTGCCCCCCTTCCGCCCCCCACCCAGTCTCTTGCTCTCACTACTCTCTCCACTGCGTCATCAACTCTCTGCACTTGCTCTTCTGATGCCCGTGCCAAGGTCGCCGCCTTCAGACAAGACAAGATGGTCTTCCAGACTGAAAGTCATACCCATATCCCAGAACCAGCACCAAATGTCATGCCCATGCAACCTACCATGCCACTTACTCTACATCCCACCCCCCCCCAACCTCACTCCCGTCCTCATGTGTTTCCTCATTCCATTCCTTCCCCATCCCCAGGTGGGCATCAACTTGCCCATCCCGGTGCCACTGCCCTTTTTCTCCTTCACCGGGTCACGCGCCAGCTTTGCCGGGGACCTCAATTTCTATGGCAAGGCGGGTGTACAGTTCTACACCTACACTAAGACTGTTACGGCAGCTTGGAAGGAGCCTAGTGGGGCGGCTTCCAAAGTATCCATGGCCTTTCCGACGTCGCAGAAGGTCTGAAGGGGGTGGTATGAGTTGCCTTATCCAAAGTATCCCTTCCTCCCGTGCATGTGTATATCTTGGTCTGGGTCTGGGTCCATTGCTTTTATCGGTGCGGCCTTTGACGGCTTGATTGTGGCATGGACTCGTTTTTGCCACACGCTGTATTTTCTCTCGTTTCTGCTTGTATGTAAATCTCCTTGGAAGTCCGCTAATACTAGTAGGGCAAGAACGGCAAAGGATGGAGGTTGGGGAGAGGGAGGATCAAGCTGAAAAAGAACTCCCTTAGAATGAAGTTAATCCTCCCCTTCGATTCGTATTGCTCATCCTAAATCGAGGATAATCCATCTCCCAAAACAGCCCAAGCTCCTTACCACCTGCATCAGGCCCCTGAATGAAATTTGGGGCACCCAGCCAGATCCGACCTGGGACCGAGCATCACCCTGCCACTGCAGGGTGAGGGTCTGCTCCTTGTCAAGATTTGGCTGGGTAACTCAACATCCCAGTCGGAAATGGCAGGGTGAAACTTTCTCTGACTCTGAATCGAACTAGCAATCCCTCTCCTTCGTCGTCACCTCCAGGGTCCGGTGAGACTCTGGCAATCGTGCACACTCATGTAACTTTGTTAACTAAAAGGCGATGCATTTGCTAGTCCAGAGGACAGAGTTGGGACTTGATATTACTCGCGAGCTGTCACGTTTTAGAGGAGGTTTCAAACCTGGGGGCGAGATCGACCTCTGAAATATTCCAAGGAAGAAATCCTCAGGGGTCTCTGCAAAAGCTCCGACTTAGCCGAATCTCCAGCCACCTGTCGGACTCGGCACAAATTGACTGCGAAGCTCTACATTAGCCAAATTCCCGCCAGCCTATTGCGCCACGGGAACGCGTTGTCTCTGTGAAACCATTTCTTTAGCCAAATTTACAACCAACTTCTAGGGGGATGTGGAGGAGGAAATTTGGACTTGGGAGAAATCTCTACCCCCACTGTAAAATAATTTCACCACTGGGTATTCCTGCCACAGGCTTGGCGCACGCAGGGTTCTAGGTACACGAAACTCTGATATAGCTGGGGTGAATCCTTGGCATGGTCTGAATGTGGCAGGGTGGTACCTTCCTCGGACCTTCTTTTTGCAGCCTTACCTGAAAAAATCACTCTGGAAAAAAGACTAAACAGGGTAAAACACCCTAGCGATCTGGGGCCTGACCTGCATCCATCATGGGGGAACAAGCCATACCACTCACCACTTCGCGCGCCCGACTAGCGCGATTCCAGCATCCAACATGTCTCCCCCCCTCCTACTACCGCGCCTACCCGACGACTGCCTCCTGCTCATTCTCTCCTTCCTCCCCTCCATCCGCGATCGCAATGCTCTCTCCCGCTGCTGCCGCCGCCTCCACCGCCTTGATGCCTCCTCCCGCCGCTCTCTCCGCGTCGGCCCCGGCCTGCACCCCGCAAACGCGGCGCTCGCGCGGCTGCTGTGGCGCTTCTCGCAAATCACCACTCTCCACGTGGACTATCTTGGATGGGAGTCCACGCACGGCCCGCAGCTCGCAGATGATGGCGTGGCGGCACTCGTGCTGCGCGCCAATGCAGATGACTGGGAGGGGGCTCCCAGTCCCCCTTCCGCCTTCCCCTCCGCTTCCGCCTCCTCCCCGTGCTCTTCTCCGCGCGCTTCACCGTCCGCGATTGCTTCCGCGTCTTCCGTGCTGTCGAGCCCCCTGACCCACACCCTTCCCCGTGATCAGCCACTCCCGTTGCGCCACGTGTCTCTCTCCTTCACCAGCCTCGTCACCGACGCCGCCATGCCGCACCTCGCCTCGCTCCCGTCCCTAACCTCCCTGCGCCTCGACTTCGTGCCGAGCCTGACCGGGCGGGGGCTTTTGTCCGTAGTGACGGGGTGCCGGCAGCTACAGTGGCTGCACGTTGAGAGTTGCATGAACGTGCGGAGTAGCGAGTGGATCGCTGCCATTGGGGAGAGACGCGGGGAGGGGGGTGGGGGGAAGGCGGGGGAAAAGGTGAGGGGGAAGGTGGGCGGAAAGGCGGGGGTGGAGTTGAGGGGGGAAGCGGAGAAGGAGTGAAGGGGGAGGGTGGTGATCTGAGAGAGAGTGCATGTGAAGCTAGCAAGGTCTGGCAGGCGGAGTGTGGGGGGCAGGAAGGCAACTGTCATTGCACACTGCAGCATGTGCAGCAGGAGCAGAAGCAGCAGTACCTATGCACGCAAGCACGAGCGGGAAGAAGAAGCATAAGCAGCAGCAGCATACGTGGCTTGGCAGTGGTGAATTGCGATGGCATAGGCGAGGGAGACCTAGCGAGACTGGGCAGTGCGGCATGGGGCCGCCTAGAGGAGCTACGCCTTGAGGTACAGGAGGAGAGGAGACGGCCACCAGTGCTGCTGGCGTCCGCCCCCTCTGCCCTCTCCTCTCTTGCTCCCTCCATCTCGTGTCCGCACCTGCGCGTGCTGCGCCTTGCCAATTGCCCTGGGGTGCCTCGTGAGGGGCTTGCTCTGCTGCTGCACCACCTGGCGCAGCGGCACTATAAGCAGCAGCAGCAGCAGCAGCAGCAGCAGCAGCAGCAGCGGCAGCAGCAGCAGCAGCAGCAGCAGCAGCAGCAGCGGCAGCAGGAACAATCAAGTGGCGATGAACACAGCGACGTGCATGAGTTGCCGTCAATCCCTCTCTCTCCTGCCTCCCGGCTCTCGCATTTCCTTTCATCCTTAACTCTATCCTCCCCATCCTCGCCTGCCGTCCTGAAAACCACCCCCACTCCCCGCCTCTCTTCCCTTGGAACCGGCACGGCAACACCAAAGCTCCCCCACAAGCAACACCTCAGCAGCACCCCTTCTTCTTCTCCGTTCTCCCCGTTCTCATCGCTACAGGAGCTGCAGCTGCATGGTTGCCCTGGTATCTCTGACACCACTATGGCAGCCATCCTTCAATCCCTAGGCCCCTCCCTCCGCACTCTCAAGCTAAAGCTTTTCAAGCAGCTGCACTCGCTGCCGTCTGTACCCACCGCCCCACTCACTCTTCACCACCAGCGCACACACGCGCCCTCCGTGCCACTTTTCTCACTGGAATCACCAGCGCAGTCGCCATCAATGCCGGAATTAACACCGGTATCATCCATGTCAGGAACCACTTCTGCAGCTGCATCTGCAGGGCCGTTCGAGCTCTTGTCGGCTCCGCAATTTGGTGAAGTACCAGCAGCAGCGTATGCATTTGATACACAGGCATCCGCATCAGCAGCAGCTGTCGCTGCGAGAGCAGCAGCACGTATGGAAGAGGCCATGGGACCTCTGTCTGAGAGAGCGCTCACAACCGCTTGTCTGCCTGTCATCGCCCGCCATTGCCACCGTTTGAATCTCCTGGAGCTGATGTCCTGGAGTGACTTTCCCCCACGCGGTGCTTCCCTGTTTGCTGGCTTTGCCGATGTGGCAGTAGAGCAGCTGCTGGTAGCGTGTCCTGGGCTGGAATTGCTGCGGCTTGACAAGGGCTTTCATGTGAGCATGCATGTGGTGGTGCAGGCACATCCACGTGTTGCGATAGTGGATCATACGGTAAGCTAGATGGAGTAAGAGCGTGTTCCTACAGGCCCCTTATCAGAGTGCCCCTTATCAGAGTGCCCCTTATCAGACTCGAGCGGCACTGTGCAGTGCGAGTTTGACGCAAGTTGTTCCACTGCGGTTGAGAGCGGTTCAATGAGGTTCACTTTGCTACCTGAAAGTGAGTTAAATTCGTTTGCATGACATGTGTAAAATTCCGAATAGAGTGCTTGCACACAGTCAATGTGTAAATATTGGACAGCACGATATGTGATAATGGAGGAGGGATGTTACATGATGAGTTAAAAGTCCATAATTGTTATGTCATTACATAGCTAGAATATGTATTTGTTCCTTTCTTCAAATTGCATGTTACTCAAGCGGACGCTTTTGCGAAAGTCGCAGTTCGTCCTATAACGAATAACACCGGAAGGGGTTTGGTGGACCACATTCTCCCATCCCATCCCACCCAAACCACCGCCGCTGTCCCCTAAACCGTAGCTCGTCCCTTCTCCCTGCCGAAATCTCGTTTCCCCATAAATCACTTGTTGCTGCTTGAACCCCAAATCTGCCCCTCTTATCTTGCAACAATCAACAATCGAGGCCCGTAACTTTCGACCAGTTTCCGCTTAGCTACTCCTTCCAGTTGGCCTTTCTGCACTTCCTCCTCTCCATAATTCCCTTCGCTGTCCATCAAACGCGCGATACTGACGCGTCAGCCGAAATGCCGGCAGCAGTCACGCCCGGCGCGCGGCGACACAGCACGTCGCCGGCGCGCGGGAAACGCGGCGGCGGCGGCGGCGGAGGAGGAGGGAGCGCTGGCAAAGGCTTAGGAATGCCTGGCAAGTCGGGAAATACCCCTCGCGGGGGGAAAGGAGGCGCAGCGAGGGGTGGGCGAGGGGGGACGAAGGGAGGGGCGGCCGGAGCGCGGAAGGGCGGGCATTCGGACAAGAACCCGAAGAAAAGAAGTTTGAAAGAGGAGGAGGAGGAAGAGGAGGAAGCGGCGATGGAGGAAGATATCGAGGAAGAATTGGAGGTTGAGGGTTTTGGAAAGGGGAAAGGGTTGGAAGTTGAGGACGAGGAGGATGGGGAGGATGGGGAGGAGGAGGAGGACGGTGATGAGAAGGACAACGTTAAATTGGGCGGCGGGAAGGAGAGGGCGTTTAGCGACGAGAACCAGTCGTGGCTGAAGGTGAAAAAGAGAAACCTGCTGGAGGACGACGATGATGGCGATGAGGAAGATGAAGATGCAGCCATGCCTGACGACTTCGAAGGTGGGCCGCCCATGCGCCCGCTTCCTTGTAGGGTTACACCTTGTAATTCCGGTCGGTTCAAGTGCGGAGTCACACGTTCGTGGCGCGAAAGAACGCCCGTGCTGTACCTCGGCAGCGAATTGCTCTTATTTCTCCCGTGTGACGCTGACACATGCAGCCGTCTCTCCTCGTTCCGCCTGTCTTCCTACGATCCTCACTTCCCCTTGTAACGATCCCCCTCCTCTCCGGTTGATCTTCCATTGTGGATTTCGTTCAGGCGAGGAAGACGACGACGACGACGAGGGGATGGACGATGAGGAGGAAGAGGAAGAGGAGGAGGAGGAGGAGGAGGAGGAGACGGCGTTCGAGCGCAAGGCGCGGAAGCTGGAGGCGCGGAGGGCGCAGGAGGCGGAGGAGGCGGAGGCGGAGATGCAGCTCAACATACAGGACGGGGAAGACGTGGGGCTGCTGCTGCCCACAGACGAGGTGGGGGAAACGGGATCCGGATGGGGCGGAGGGGGAGAGCGGGGGGGGGTCGTGGGGGGCGGGGGGGAGGGGGGGGGGATGGTGGGGAAACGCAGGGACGTAAGATGACGTCTTTTGGGGTTTTTTTCAGCGCTCTATTCATTGATGCTTGTAAATGGGGCGAACGCACGCACGCACGCACGCTTCAGCAGCTCTCCTGCCATCGGTTTTTGAGAATTCTCACAACCCTCCCCGCCTGTCCCATCCATCTGTCCATCGCTCTCGTCCTCTCGTCCTCTCCTCGTCCGTCCTACCTTCTCGTGTCCCGTGTTGCCCTTCACCCTATCGTCTCAACCTCGCCGGCTCACTCACTCACTCACTCTCCCTCCCTCGCTCCCCCTCTCCTCCTCCCACGTTCTCCCACGTTTCTTCGTGACACGTGTCCTCGGTGCAGGAGAGGGAAGCAGAGGCAGCAGCGCCGCCGGACCTATCCGTGATTCAGAAGCGAATCAACGACAGTGAGTCGCTTTACCTTGCAGTCACTTCTGTCCCTCCTGTTCTGGAAAGAACCCTTCTTATTTTGCCCACGTGCTTCAAGCCCCTTCACCTTGCAGTCATCTCGAAGCCCCCCCCCACCTCCCCTCCTCTTCCCCCCCCCTCCCCCGATCGGTGCGGTGATTTAGTCAGGCACAAACCCTCTCCAAGTTTGAGACTCTTTGTCGTATAACACGTTTTTCGCTCTCTCTTTGTCGTATAACTCGTGAGTCATTACTGACTGCAGCCACGTGATGCCACCCTTTCGGCCGAAAGAGGCACTTGCTGCCTCTCATGCCGGCCTTACTTATGTCATAGTTACTCTGATGGCTGCGCATTACTGGACCAGGCTACTCTCTCGCCTTTCCCTTGCGTCATAGTTGCACTCGTGCACCACCATGCGCATCTGGTCTGACCTCCCTGGATTCTTCTCTGCCTTCACTCCACGCACGCACCCATCCCCGCCGTCTGCTTCTGCGTTCATCCCTGTCTCTCCCCCACCCCCTCCACCTGTAACGAGTCGATTTTTGAGTCGACTCCAAAAAAATTTGAGGCGCCTCAAAAATCGACTCATTACACACGGATCATCCCTGTCTCTCCCCCACCCCCTCCACCTTCTCTCTTGGCCCATCCCTTTCCTCATCTCATTTCGTCCAGCTTTCGAGCCCGCGATTGTGTGTTCCCTGGGTTCTCCATTCTCGCTGGTAGAAGCTTTTTTGAGGCGCCTCAAAAATCGTCAATGGGATGGGACTCGTTTTGAACAGTGCCCATTGGGGACCCTTGTCCGCGGGTCCCTGCTGCCCCGTGATCTGATATCGTCTTCCCTTTCTCTCGCCACCGGTCCTTGCACTGCAACAGCCGCGTGATGCCACCCTTTCGGCCGAAAGAGGCCCTTGCTGCCTCTCATGCCGGCCCTACTCATGTCATAGTTACTCTGATGGCTGCGCTTCGGCTGAAGCTTTAGAGAAGGCGGATGATGCCAAAGCAAATTAAAACAGCGGGGGAGGAGAGCATGGAAGAGGGTTTCTTTTTCCCGTGATCCTCTATTTCTACCACCCGCCTCTCTTCTTGCGCCATCGCCTCCTCTACCCTCCCCCTCCCCCCCACTCCCCCCCCACCCCCAGTCGTGCGCGTGCTGGGCAACTTCTCCAAGCTGCGCGCGCCCTCGGTGCCGCGCACGGCGTACGTGAGCCAGCTGGCGGTGGACCTCGCGCTCTTCTACGGCTACAACGACTTCCTCATGGATGCCCTCATGCAGGTAAGGCTCGTGGTTTAAGCTCGTGCGGGCGGGGTTTAAGCTCGTGCGGGTGGGCTTTAAGCTCGTGCGGGTGGGGTTTAAGCTCGTGCGGGTGAGCTTTAAGCTTGTGCAGCCGGGGCGTGAAGCAGTCAGGGAGAACGGAGCAAAAGGGAAGAAGAAAAGAGAGTGTTTCCGGGTTTCGGGTGTGTCAGCTTTTTCCAACCAGGGGTTAGTTAGCGTACACGTTGCACTTGTGCCATGTCTCGTCTTTCTCCCCTTCTTCAAGCCGTGGCCAGTGACGACCCGGGTTTAGTGGCAGAGGTGCTGTCGCTTGCTCACTCACTTCCAATCTCCGTCCGCCTCCCCCTCTCCACCTCTCCCCCCCCTCCCCCCCCACACCCCCCCCTCTCCCAGATGTTCCCCGTGGCGGAGGTGATGAAGTTCCTGGAGGCGAGTGAGAAGCCGCGGCCGGTGACCATCTCACTCACTGACTCCCTGTCTCCCTCTGCCTACCCCTCTCTATCTCTCCCCCCCCCCCCCCCTCCCCCAGATGTTCCCCGTGGCGGAGGTGATGGAGTTCTTGGAGGCGAGTGAGAAGCCGCGGCCGGTGACGATCCGCACGAACAGCATCAAGGCAAGGCGGAGGGAGCTGGCTGCAGCGCTCATCAACCGCGGCGTCAACCTCGACCCGCTCGGGCCCTGGAGCAAGGTGGGTGGGGATGCTAGGGTCGGTATGCATGCTGGGAGCAGCACGCCCACATCCCCCTTTGACCCCCCCCTTGTCGTTCGTGCCCCCTCTCCCTTCGTCTCGTTTTCGCACGCTCACAAGCTCGGTAGCCCTCCTTCCCTTCATCCCGCCCGCCCTCCCGTTTCTCCATCTTCCAGTCCAGTGTTGGATTACAACCTTGATTTTGCAGAGTGCTTTTGAGAATTCTTAAAAACAAAAAAAAACTTTCTCCATCTTCCAGTCCAGTCCTCGATTACAACCCCGGACTCCCATCTTGCAGCCTCGCTTCACTTGCTGCTCATCTCATGACCTCCCCACCCCAACACACCCAACCCAACCCTCCTCCCGCTCGCCTCCCTCCCCCCCCCCCCCCCCTCTCCCTGCAGGTGGGGCTCGTGGTGTACGAGTCTCAGGTGCCCGTGGGAGCGACGCCCGAGTACATGGCGGGGCACTACATGGTATGCGGGGGGGGGGAGGGGGGGTGGTGTGGTATGGCATGGCACGCCTCTGTATGGCATGGCATGGGGGCGGGTTATGCGTGGCTCATTGAGGAAGGAAGTATGCTGTGAGTGCCTGACACGCATGTAATGTGACGTCAGTCAGTCAGTCAGTCAGTCAGTCAGTCAGTCAGTAAGTCAGTCAGTCAGTCCGTCCGGTTGACCTCCGTCTCTCCATCCATCCCGCATGTCTGGTCGTCAGTAGTGCGCGCGAAACCCAGAACCATGTGCATTCATCACATCAGGTGACTTTTGAGTCGACTCAAAAAGAAACCCAGAACCATGTGCATTCATCACATCACACAAGCTCGTGCCTTGTAGGCTTGTACTGCAGCCGGGCCGGGCAGGCCCGTTCTCGTCCCTGCACCAACGCCCATTCTCGCTTTTCCCTCTCCTCTCCTCTCCTCTCCTCTCCTCTCTCCTCCTCCCCCCCCCCCTGCCGCCATCAGCTCCAGAGTGCAGCGTCCTTCCTGCCAGTCATGGCGCTCGCGCCCCAGGAGAAGGACGTTGTCGTTGACGTTGCGTGAGTCGCTCCCCCCCTGCCCTCTCCCCCTGCCCTCTCCTCTTTCCCTCTCCCTCGGCATGCTATTGCCTATCCATTCCCCTTCCCTCACTTCCTGCCTGTCCCACCTTATTCCATGCCTCCCTCCCCCCTTGGCCTCCTGCCCTTGACTTCGCCCTCTCCTACCCTAGCAGCAACCCGTTGTGCTCTTTATTAGACACGCACACGTTGCATCCCCCGTACGTGGAGATCACGCTGTACCAGCATGGACTGGACTGGAATGCTCGTGTGTGTTTCTGGCCATATGCTTTGAGTCGAGAGTCAGAAGCAGGCTCATGTTGTGCATTCATGGCCAGGAATGCTCGTGTGTTTCTGGCCACATGACGATATCTGGTCATCAAAAGTGTTTCAAGACGGATCTGACATCCATGTGATGGACAATCCACCTAATCTGATGGCCCACTCTCATGCACATGCATCTACACATGCACCACCTGCCCATTGTGCGTGCATGTCTATGCTGCCTGCTCACTCTCTGTTCCTGTCGTTCCTGCCGTTTCAGTAGCTAGCAACCCTGCGTGCCGTTTGTTGCATGCGCACGCATCCCATCCCTTTCACCCCATAATCGCGTGTTACACTGTATGCATGGAGAGGGAAGCTCGTCTGTCCGTTCGGCCACATGACGATATCTGGTCATCAAAAGTGTTTCAAGACGGATCTGACATCCCCGTGATGCACAATCCACCTAATCTGATGGCCCACTCTCACATGCACATGGATGATGACATGCATGACGTCAAGCATGGCAGCATGCATGGCCATCATGATCACATGCACATCCATGACCGCCTGCCTGTGCCTGTGAATGACCATGCTTTCCCAGCCCCCTGTATTCCCCCCCTGCTCTTGCCTGCCTTAACTCACAGTAGCAACTTGTCATGCCATCCGTTAGATGCACACACATCTACCCCGATACCATGTGCCCCGATTTTTTAGGCGCCTAAAAAATCGCCTGATATCCCATCACTGATGTGTGGTATCTGCACGGATGGAGAGGGATGCTACTGTGTCACATACAGTAGCCTCCATGACATATCTGCATGGAAAGGGAGGCTAGTGCGTTCGTTCGGCCACATGACGATATCTGGTCATCAAAAGTGTTTCAAGACGGATCTGACATCTTGTGATGGACAATCCACCTAATCTGATGGCCCACTCTCACATGCACATTCATCCACACATGCACATGCATATCGTCCACGTGTGCATACCGCCTGCCCATGAGTGCATATCTATGCCGCCCACCCGCGCCTCCTTCCATTGCCGTTGCTTGTGGTAGCAACCAGTCATCCCAATTTCCAGCGTGCACACATACCTTACCCCAAGTCGTGTGGTGTTCTCATGGGGAGGAAGGCTTGTGTGTGTGTGTGTGTGTGTGTGTGTGTGTGTGTGTGTGTGTGTGTGTGTGTGTGTGTGTGTGTGTGTGTGTGTGTGTGTGGGCCAAGCCACATGACGATATCTGGTCATCAAAAGTGTTTCAAGACGGATCTGATATCTTGTGATGCACAATCCACCTAATCTGATGGCTGACCCGCCCATGTGCATGCTGACACCCATGACACCAATCATGGCCATGACTGCATGATTAACGATTAATCATGCAATCCTTGGTAATGCTTACTGGTGCTTGACTCCTCCCCTCTCCCTCTGCCCTTTGCGTCTTGCCGTTACTCACATTGCCAGGCTGTCATGTCGTTTATTAAATGCGCACACATCCCGTGCACTCCTATTATATGCATGGAGAGGGAGGCTAGTGTGTTCATTCGGCCACATGACGATATCTGGTCATCAAAAGTGTTTCAAGACGGATCTGACATCCCCGTGATGCACAATCCACCTAATCTGATGGCCCACTCTCACATGCACATGCAATCTGATGGCCCCTTCCTGCGTATCGCCCCACTTCAACGTTCGCTTTCTCCGCTCCCCTTCCCTCTCTCCCCCCCCCAGGGCTGCACCGGGCGGCAAGACGACGTATGTGGCGGCACTGATGAGAAACACAGGTGAGGCTTGGTTCAAGGTCTAGTTCTCTGTGCCATGCCATGCCATGGTTTGCCATGCCATGCTGTGCCGTGCCGTGCCATGCCATGCTGTCCCATGCCACGCCATGCCATGCCATGCCATGCCATGCCGTGCCATGCCATGCCATGCCATGCCATGCCATGCGTCATGAAGTGACGCTACAACCATTGCAAGTTCCCACCCACCCGCCTCAGTGCAATGCTCTCTTCCAATGCCCCCATGCACCCATACACCCACGCCCTCACGCCCCCACGCGCCCCCATGCGCCCATGCGCCCATGTGCCCATGTGTCCGTGTGCCCGTGTGCCCATGTGTCCGTGTGCCCGTGTGCCCACGCCCCCTCGCCCCCGCGGCAGGCATGGTGTTCGCGAACGAGTTGAAGCAGCCGCGCCTGAAGTCGCTCATTGCCAACATCCACCGCATGGGCGTCACCAACACCACCGTCTGCTCCTATGACGGCCGCCACGTATGTGCCCATGTGCCTGCCTGCCACGCGTGTTGTGTCTGTGTCTGTGTCTATGTCTGTGTCGGTGTCTATCCGCTTTGTTCAGCTCACCGCATGGACGTCACCAACACCACCGCCTGCTCCTACGACGGCCGCCACGTATGTGCCCATGTGCCTGACACGTGCGTGCGTGTCCGTGTGTTGGCCACGTGCATCCGTGTCTGTCCGTGCGTCACTGCGTCGATCAGCTCACCGCATGGGCGTCACCAACGCCACCGTCTGCTCCTACGACGGTTGCCTCCTACGCCTGCGCTCATTTCCCCTTCGCATCGCCTCCTCTCATCCCTCCCCTCATTTTTGAGTCGACTCAAAAGCCATCGCCTCCTCTCATCCCTCCGCTCATTTCCCTTTCCATTCCCTGCTGTCTTCCCTCCTCTCATCCCCCCTGTTCATGCTCGCTTCTCCTCGTCGTCATTTCCCCTTCCCCTTCCTATCCCTCCTGTCACCCCCCCCACCCCCCTCCCATCCCCTGTTCATTCCGGCACCCCAGCTGCCCAGGCTTCTGGGTCTCTTCTCTTCTTCGCAGATGGAGTGTTGCTGATCTTGTCTTCATTTCTCCTTCCTTCCTATCCCCCCCTCCCATCTCCCCTGTCGTCCCCCCAGCTGCCCAAGCTTCTGGGTCTTAACTCTGCAGATCGAGTCATGCTGGACGCGCCCAGTGCGTCTACCCTAGTCGTGTCTTCATTCTCCTCCCTATCCCCCCTTCCCATCGCCCCTGTCGTCCCACTCCTCCAGCTCAAGCTTCTGGGGCTCAACTTCGCAGATGGAGTGTTGCTGGACGAACCCTGTGCGTCTCCCCTTGTCGTGTCTTCACGTATCTTTCCTTATCCCCCCCTCCCATCCCCCGTCCCGCCCCCCAGCTGCCCAAGCTTCTGGGGCTCAACTTCGCAGATCGAGTGTTGCTGGACGCACCCTGCTCTGGCACCGGGGTGAGTTTAGTCCGGAGTGTGGGCTCGGGGGGGGAGGGGAAAGGGTGGGGCGAGGTTTGAGCCGATTCAGGGCAAGGGGCGCATGTGGGGATATGGACTATAGGGGTTGGGGGGGTAGGAGGGAGGGGAGTAGAGGGGTGCTTGGTTGGAGAAGGGCAGGAGTCTATTTTTGAGGCGCCTTAAAAATAGACTCCTCACAGGTGGTTGGTTGGAGAAGGGCAGGAAGTGACGACGAGGGATGGAGCATACGGGGGGAAGGTGAGAGAGGCGACCAGGGAATGTTGTGATTGGGAAGCGTGGAGTCTCTAGAGGATTCGTGCTCACTCACTCATATATTTTTAACAACAATCAAAGCAACAAATGAAAAGGCATGTAGGTTTCTCTTATCTCTTTTGTCCGCAGCCACGTGATGCCACCCTTTTGGCCGAAAGAGGCCCTTGCTGCCTCTCATGCCGGCCCTACTCATGTCATAGTTACTCTGATGGCTGCATTGTTGGGATATGTACCACCACCATGCATTGTCTTGTCTCTTTCTCAACTCCATTTCTTACTCAACTCCATTTCTTACTCAACTCCATTTCTTACTCAACTCCATTTCTTACTCAGCTCCATTCCTTACTCAGCTCCATTTCTGCTTCAATTCAACTCCTCGATACAGCATGCTGTTCCGAGATGGTTCCCAAGCAGCATTTGCAGAAATTCCAGCTCCTTCCTCCATGCCTCTGAATGTTGCGGCATGGTTGCATGGTTGCATGGTTGAATGGTTGAATGCATGTGCTGCAACCCCACCCCACGGTCCCACCCCACTCCACCCCACCCCACCTGCAGGTGTTGTCAAAGGACTCGTCGGTCAAAGTGAGCAAGACAGAGGCCGACATCCTCAACTGCTCGCATCTGCAAAAGGTGAGGACTTACTCTTGATACATACACACACGTGCTGCTCGGCATTACGAGAAGAGTCAAAAGTTGAGGCATGCATGCACATGCACGCCCTGCTCAGGTTAGGAGCTGCTCGTGCTGCCTAAACTCCATTCCAGCTGCTTATCTGCTCTGGTATCATTTGCTCAGCTTCATGTGCCCTCATTCCTTCCGTCTAACTCCCTCGTTCACCCTTCCCTCCCACCTCCCTCCCCCCCATGCCACGCCACACATCGCCACACCAGGAGCTGATCCTAGCCGCCATAGACATGCTGAGTGCGGACTCAAAGACAGGGGGCTACCTCGTCTACTCCACGTGTTCTCTCATGGTCGCTGAAGTGAGCCCCCCCCCCCTCGTTTCGAGACGCCTCATTACTAGATTACTTCCTCTCTGTGCTTCCCTCTCACATGCTCGCAAGGATGTGATGGTCGCTTTGCATCCTCTTCGTGCCTCTCGTGGTTGCTGAGGTGAATCTTCCTTCTGAGTGAAACAAACAAGAGATGGATGGAGCAACCTCCCCTCTCTCTCTCCCTCCCCCTTCTCGCTCCTCTCCACACCTCTCTTCCATGATCCCATCACATGCGTGCGGCGCCTCTGTTTTTGAGGCACCTCTATTTTTTAGGCGCCTCAAAAATAGACTCTTCCATGTTCCCATCACATTTTGCGCTTTCGTTTGCTTTAAAAAAAAAAAATCTCCCATCCGTTTTATCAGTCTGCCGCATCATTGCATTCCTGTCTGTCTAGCTCTCATCGCTTCAGATGGCACTAGCTGGGTTCCTTTGCCTATGTTCGCGCTCATCCATTACTCAACGCTTTATCACGAAACGTTTTATCACCGTACAGGTCTTCAACATTTCTTGATTGGAGTCTAGTTTGATAGGAGTCTAGTTTTGAGGCGCCTCACACAACTAGAGTCCTACAGGAGTCTTCAACATTTCTGCTCTCTTTTGTCCGCAGCCATGTGATGCCACCTTTTTGGCCAAAAGAGGCCTTGCTGCCTCTCATGCCGGCCTTACTCATGTCATAGTTACTCTGATGGCTGCACATTGCCTGTCGTCGAGAGTGAATCGCACACTCCATCTATCCTCTCTCACATGCGACAGTGTGCTCCTCCTTCTGGCTCTCGCACTTGGTCTCACTCACCAGTCAATTTCTCCCTGGCTTTCTTCTTTCTTCCTTTCTTTCTTTCTTTCTTTCTGTCTGTCTGTCTGCCTGCCTTTCTTTCTTTCCCTAACCCATCCGCATCCGCCCTCCCTCTACTCCCACCACCACACCACCCACCCCAGAATGAGGCGGTGGTGAACTACGCACTGAAGAAGAGAGATGTGAAGGTGGTGCCGTGTGGGCTCGACTTCGGCAGACCTGGGTGCGTGTGAGGAGGGGAGGAGGAAGAGGGGGGAGTGATGGATGGAGGTGCATGCTGCTGGATGCTTGGAGGGTGAGGTGGTTGGTTTGTTGGTTGGGTGGAGGAAGTAAATGGCATGTGGGCAGCGTCCGTCCGTACATGGCCAGATTGCGTGAGTTTCATTGCTGCGGGCGCTTTTTAATCCTCCCAACTTCTCTCTTGTTGTGAACCCTGAATCACGAGTGCAGGTTCGCCAAGTTCAGGGAGCACCGATTCCACCCCTCGCTGGCGCACACGCGGCGCTTCTACCCCCACGTACACAACTTGGATGGCTTCTTTGTTGCCAAGGTGAACGAACACCCATGGCTGCTGCTGCTGCTGCTGCTGCTGCTTGGGTGGGGGAGAGAGGGGAGGGAATGGGTGTGTTGGCATGGCACAGGGAGTGGGAAAGCGTCATATCAAGTTGACAAGAAAATGAGGGGGGAGACGTCTGACGAGATGGGGCTTTGCTATGCTCGGCTTCTTGGTCTGACCTTCTTGCTTGCTGCTTTGCTTTCTTGCTCCGTGCTGTTTTGTTGCGCTGCTGCCTGCAGCTTGCCATTTGTGTACACCGCCCCTTGTGTCAGCCACGTGATGCCACCCTTTCGGCCGAAAGAGGCCCTTGCTGCCTCTCATGCCGGCCTTACTTATGTCATAGTTACTCTGATGGCTGCACATGACTACCAGGATTCCTTCCCTGTCCTTCCACAGATGCCTCTCTCTATTTCCTTTGTGCACAACCCACATCCGGTCTTTCTAGAGAGATCTGTGGGTCGGGCACGGTCTTTCTAGTTTCCACCGGCTTTCCCAACCCAACCTCTCGCATTACACCTCCACCTTCCTCCCTTGGACTCTATTCATCCCCCTCCTCTCTTTTCCCCTCTATTCCTTTCTCAGTTTCTTCCTTCACCACCTAAATTCCTCGTCATCCCTTCATTTCTGTTGGATTGGGCGTGGTGTTTTATCTTCCCCTTGGGTTTACATATTGGTCGAAAGCATACAATATATACCTGGTCAAGTACCCAACTTGAGACCTCCGGTCTCCGGTCCCTACTGCCACCTGTTTCTGTTTCCCCTTTCTCGCCACCAGTCCTTGTGCCTCTCAGCCACGTGATGCCACCCTTTTGGCCGAAAGAGGCCCTTGCTGCCTCTCATGCCGGCCTTACTCATGTCATAGTTACTCTGATGGCTGCACTCTCGTTGCCGCTCTCTCTACCTGCACTCACGACCTCTCCTCTCGACCTTGCGCTGTGTGCACTAGGATTCAAGTCACCTGTCACATGGGTCCGTCCATCATCCATACATCCATGCTCCAGCCATGTATACGGCCTCCTTCCGGTCCCATCCACCACATGTTGCTCAATGTCCCTTTCCCCTCTCGTTCGCCGACTCTTGTGGTTGTTCCTTCCTGGCCGTGCAGATAAAGAAGCTCAGCAACAAGAAGAAGGACGAGAAGGACAAGGATGAGGAGGCGGATGGAAAAGAGGAGGAATCGGAGGATGAGGATGCGGGGGAGGTGCAGGAAGGGGAGCCAGGTGAGGATGCTGGAGAGGATGGGGAGGAAGGAGATATGGAGGAGGAGGAGGAGGAGGAAGGGGAGGAGGAAGGAGAGGATGAGGAGGATGGTGAAGAGGGAGAGGAGGGAGAGGCTGGTGGAAAAAAGAAGAATAAGAAGGGGGTGAGTGGATCACAGGAGAGCGCAGTGTATTTTGATGCGGCCAAGGCGAAGGCGGCGACGGCGGAGCAGATGGAGAAGCGGCGGCAGCAGCAGAACGCGCGGAAGGACAGCAAGGAGGAGAAGCGGAGGCGCAAGCAGCACATGCTCAAAGAAAGGCTCAAGGCGCAGGGCGGGGTGAACAAGTGGAGGGGGGGGGGGCGAGGAGGAGGGAGAGGGGGCTTCAGGGGAGGTAGAGGTGGGAGAGGTAGAGGAGGGTTTGGCGGAGGGCGAGGGGGTGGGTTTGGAGGCGGGCGAGGGGGGAGGTTTGGAGGGGGCAGAGGGGGTTTTAGAGGGGGCCGAGGAGGGGGTTTTGAGGGGGGACGAGGAGGGGACAACTTCTAGAGAAGTTTTATTTAGAAGGTGCTAGATTGCATCCCGGTGTTGCTCTTTGTGCTCGTTATCAGCTTTTGACGAATATTGGTGGTTGAATATGCAGGCAGTTACACTGCTGGCTAGCAGTTGCGCCTTTTAGTTCATGTGGCAGTAGTGGTATCATATCATCCACGCTATGGGGAACTAGTGGTTGTGGTGATCATGTATTCGTTACCCGGAACCCGGGGGAGGTTAATGTCGTGGATGAGATGCTCGAAGGCAGGGAAGTCGAAAGCCCGTCTCGTAAACGCTGCGTCATCGGGGTACCTCGTTTCAAAGTGTTCCAATACAGTACAGTAGCAACATAGAATGGTAACGTAACTGCAAAAATCAGAACTCAAATGCTCGCCTGTTCATCGCGCATTCGCACTTGGCGGCACAACCCAACACCTGTGCCAACAAATGGAGGCAGGTCGCCAGGTCATGTCAGCTCGGGCCCTTCTCCGGTTGCCTGCATGTTCACCCGCACCTCCACGTCGTACGCGTGGCCCCCTGTGACTCACTCTCACGCCATGCCGACCATGGCGACGCTTCCTTCGATGCCTTCGCCCCACGCATTTCCTCATGCCAGCTCGCCACCCGCGCCGATTCATCGCTGTAATTTCTCGTCGAGAGTTCTCCCTGCTCGCTCGCCCGCCTCTCTTCGGTCACACTCGCGTGGCTGTTCCTCGGTGCAGCCTACTACTTATGGAGCGTTCAGCATTCCCAGATTTGCTTATTCCTCCGCTCTCGAATCCCGTAGTCTCTGCGTCGCAACCGCTTGACCTGGTTTCTGTGAATTCTCAGAACGACCCAACCGCTGGACCCCGAATCTCCGACAAGGCCAGCAGCCGACGACGGCTCTTCACTTGGAGGCGGTGATGATGGCGACTCAGATGCTCCTCGTTCCCTGCGGTGCGAGTGCTGGACTAACTGCTAGTCCATGCAGCTTTCGCCTGCTCTCTCCACAAGTAAGTCCAGCCGGCAGCAGCAGCAGCAGCAGCAGCGTGTCGCCTCACGCTCTTCACGCGGCGGGAGGACACTACCAGCAGCAGCATCTCCCCCGCTCGTGCGTTCCTTCTCCGCGGCCCTCCTCCTTGCCGTCGCCGCGTCGCGCGTCGTTACCCTCCCTGCTGTCCGCACCACGGCAAGTCCTCCCCGTCAGGCGCCACGCGATCGAGTGCTCCCAGTACAAGGGCAAGTTCCCGCGCAACCCGCCACCCCCGCCACCCCCGCCGCATATCCCGCCGTCATCCCTGCCGCCAGAATCCCTCCTCGCGATCCTCGCCAACACGCGCACGCTCCTCCCGCTCGCGCTCGCCGTCGCCGTTCCCCTAATAAGCGGCTCCATCGTCGCGCTAGTGGCGAGTCCGCTGCAGGCGTGGTACGCGGATCTGCAGCGGCCGTGGTTCCAGCCGCCGGATTTCATATTCGGGATGATGTGGTCGCTGCTGTATCCCGTCATGGGCGTGGCGTCGTTCCTCGTGTGGCGCGAGGGCGGGTGGGCTGCGCAGAGGGGACCGTTGGTGCTGTATGGGGTGCAGCTGCTGGTGAATTTGGCCTGGCCCGTGGTGTTTTTCAAGATGCACAGGATTGGCGCTGCGCTGGGAGTCATATGTAAGCATGCCTTTCTGAGATAATCTTAGTTCCCTTTGTAAGCTTTCGTTTTTATTCATTATTTTCCCCTGTTTTTCCCCTTTACTCCGTGATCTGCACCAACACACAGCTAGATGTTGCCGAAAGCTTTTAACTACCTCCAGTCTCCTTTTGCCAGTGTGTTTCAAGCCTAGTCACGTCTCGTCTCTCTCCTGTCCTCCACGCCCCCTCCTCCTCCCACTCCCCCCCTCCCCTCCCCATGCAGCACTGCTCCTCCTCCTGGTGTCCCTCACGCTCCTCTCCTTCGCCTCCATCAACCCTCTAGCGGCCGCGCTCTTCCTGCCCTACACCCTCTGGGTGGCCTTTGCAACCGTGCTCAACCTCGCTCTCTGGAACAGGAACCAGGGCAACACGCCAGGAAGGGGACGAGGAGGGGGTGGGGGTGCTGGAGGGAAACCCTGGGGGGAGGGAGGTAGAGGAGGGGGAGGAGGATGGGGAGGGCAAGGGGGTGGAGATGAGGATGGGGATGGGGGGCAGGGAGTGAGTGTGAAGGCGGAGCGTTCAAGGTGGGGAAGCATTGTCGTGAGCAGTGCTTTGGCCTTCCTTTTTGGCAGCCCTGCTCCTGCTATTGCTGCCACTGCTACTGCTGCTTCGTCTGATTTCCCTGGCAGGCAGTGGCGGCTGGAGCGGCAGCAGCAGCAGCAGCAGCAGCAGCGGATGGTGATGAGGCAGTCAGAGTATAAAGGATTCTCTCTTGGGGGACTGAACATCGCTCCTGCTGGTCCTGTCGCTCCTGTTGAACGTTCCACCATAGGGACAGGCAGCAATCTTGCATGTGATTGTGCTGCCGAGCTTGCAAAAATTGCAGGTGCTACTGCCGTTGCTGGCACGAGGTCCGGAGCTGTTCCGTCTGCAAGTGTTGACGGTAGAGGTGTTTGAATGACTTGTGGGCTTGTGGATCTTTAGGGCTGGATGGGTTGGATGTGTGCTACCATGCACAGTGGTGTTTTCTCAGACGAGACTAAATTAGGCTAACAAGGCTTGGTTTGATGTAGTAGGATAGGATGATGTAGTGATGTGAGGTTGTTTGCCGTTGCATTTTAATGAGTTTTTCTAGTAGCTCCAATGATTTTTTGTAGCTTATGCGTGAGAATAGAAACAGTACCCGGCATCTTCCACAAGCTGTTGTAAACGCAAATTATATGAAACGATCATTTGGATATGACATTTACTTCTCTACCTTCTAGTTTATAGGTTACTGTCTGTTCCTGCTTCGCTGTACAAAACGGGGTTTAGCCGCTTTGATAACGTTTTCCGGGACCACGTTTTCGAACCCTGGGGAATGGGTAAATCTCGCAACCAGCCTCTATTTCGTCTTGAAATCCGATCTTTGTCCCACTGCAGAAAGTACTCCTCTTCATCCCCAAACCATTTCTTCTGATCGTTCATTTCTGCCACGACTACCTATCATGATTCCTCCTAGTCCTAAAAGCGTTTTCGAGAGTCCCCCGTCGCGAGCGTTCTAGTGCTTATTGGCGGCGATAGATTCCAGGTGCGGCATTCGAGAATATGGCGGACTCTCACCCGTCGTGGCAGCAGCAGGAAGCGCTGACCGGGGGGGAGGTTCCGCGCGGGGAAGTGCCGCGCGGGGAGGGGGGAAATGAGGCTTCCGCGCTAGCAGAAGAGGTGGCGAGAAGCGAAGCTGAGACTGGAGGGATGGGCGGGGCGGAGGGAATCGGGGGAGAATTAGCAGGGTATCTCTGCGCGACAGAGGGGGTCCATCCTATCGCGATGCACGGAGAAGCGTGGCGAGATGATTATCTAGCGACCGATTGCATGGCGTTTGATGCCATGGCCGCTGCCGTAATGGGTGCAGATACGCTGCCGGATACACATGTCATGGCTTCAGACGGCATGGCTACAGATGGCATGGCTACAGACGGCATGGCTACAGACGGCATGGTCGCAGACGGCATGGCTGCAGACGGCATGGCTGCAGACGGTATGGCTTCAGACGGTATGGCTGCAGACGGCATGGCTGCAGACGGCATGATTATGACCTTCGCGGCTACAGGAGGCATGGCTGTAGACGACGCTTCTACAGGCGCCGAGGATGTATTGACTACAGATGACATCGAGACAGACATGACGGGTATAATTCTTGCAACAACACAAGACGGCGGGGCTACAGACGTTCTCGGTACTGACGCGACGGCTACAGACGGAAATGCTAGTAACGAAATGGCTCTAGGAGGCGCGATGGCTAACACAGCTACAGACGTACAGGATAATGTGGCTGGTGTGGCAGGTGGAGAGGTTTGTGAACCGGTAGGACTAGATGTTGATGCGTGTGCTGATGCTAGCGGGGATGTTGAGTTAACGCAGGAAAAGGTGGATGCTAAGTCGACTCCAGAAAGGGTAGATGCTCAGTTGACTCCAGAAAGGTTAGATGCCAAGTTGACTGAGGAGAGGGTTGAAGAAAGGGAAGTGAGAGGAGGGGGAACGATGGACTTGAGTGGTCAAGAGAGGGGGGAGGGGAAGGAGGCAGAGAAAGAAGAACCAAGGGAGGGGGATATTGCCGATAGAGGGGACGAAAAGGGCGAGGCGAGCGAGTGTGTGGAGAAGGAGGAGAGTGAAAACGAGGAGGGAAAGGCGGAGGAGGAAAAGGAGAAGGAGGAGGAAAAGGAGAAGGAGGAGGAAACGGAGAAGGAGGAGGAAAAGGAGAAGGAGGAGGAAAAGGAGGAGAAAGAGGAAAAGGAGCAGGAGGAGGAGAGGAAAGGGGAGGAGGAAGAGGAGGAGGAGGAAATGGAGGTGGATGTGGTGGGATGTGACGAGGTAGGAGAGGGGGCGAAGGCGGAGGAGCGTTTTGAGGGTGCGGCGGGTATAGAGCAAGGTGATGCTGTCACGGGAGGTAAAGAAACCGCTGGGCATGGCATCAGGGAGAGGGAGCAGAGTGAAGGTGAGATGAGCGGTGAGGGTGAGGTGAAGGGTGAGGGTGAGATGAGGGGTGAGCATGATGTGGGGAGTGGGGGTGAGGTGAGAACCGATGATGAGCTCAAGCCAGAGGATGACACGAAGCATGTGGGCGCGTCAAAGGGTGAGAGTGAGATGGGAGGTGACGATGAAAATAAGGATGAGATGGTTTGTGGGGAGGAGTCTAAGGGTGAGGGTGAGACGAGAGACATGGATGAGAAGAGGGGTGGAAATGAGTCCAAGGGTAAGGGTGGGATAAGAGAGAAGGATGAGGTGAAGGGTGGGGAGGATTCTACGGGTGATGATCAGACGAGAGATAAGGATGACATAAAAAGTGGCGATGAGTGTATGGTTGAGGGTGAGATGAAGGGTGGGAGTGAGATGAAGGGTGAGAGTGAGATGAAGGGTGGGAGTGAGATGAAGGGTGAAGGGCAGGAGCAGGGAGAGGATGTGAGTGGTGGAGTCAGGGAGGAGGAAGGAGGGGCCGGTGCAGGAGGTGTGGAGGCAGAGGAAAGAGGGCGGGCGGTGGTACAAGAGGGAGTTGGAGCGGACTGTCATGTCAGGCAGGAGGGGCAGCAGGGGCAGGAGGGCGAAACGGGGAGGGTGGAACAGGAGGGCCAGCAGTTAGGGCGGAAGGAGAGAGACGACGGGGGTAGTAGGATGGAGGGAGGGGGGGAAGAGGAGGCAAGAGAGGTTGGGAAACAGGAAGAGAAGGAGGAGGAGAGGGAGGAGGAAGAGGAAGATGAAGAAGAAGATGAGGAGGAGGAAGAGGAGGAGGCGGAGGAGGAAGTAGGGAGAGGCGGAAGCAGGGTGTCAACTATGGGGCTAGCCAGCAGTGCTTCCTGGGCTGGGATAGAGGCAGATGGAGAAGAAGCAGCGCAGTCCAACGCAGCAGCAGCAGCAGCAGCATCAGCATCAGAAGAACACCTGTGGCCCTTAAGCAAGCTGGTGTCGATGATTTCAACCCAGGGGGGGGTGCTATCTGAGCAGGTGCTTACTCTACAGCAGGTGGTGCTGGCGCAGCAGCGGCTGGTGCAGCAGTGCACCGTGGAGTGGAAGGAGCAGCAGAAGCAGCTGCAGCAGCAGGCGAAGCTACTGCAGCAGCAGCAGAAGCAGCAGCAGCAGGCGCTCCAGCAGCAGCAGCAGCTGGAAGAAGAGGAAGAGCAGCAGCTGCAGCAGATCACCCAGCGCCCGCGGTTCAAACGGCCCAAGGACTGGGAGAGCGAGTGGGAGAAGAGGAGCGGCGTGCCGGGAGGAGGCGGGGGAGGAGGCGGAGGAGGAGGGGGGCAGTCGGGGCAGGGAGGCGCGGAGGATGCAGGGCAGGTGCCGAGTCACATGCACATGCAGCAGCACCTGCTGCTGCCGGGGCAGATGCAGCTGCTGGAAGAGCTTGGGGAGGAGGGCACTGAAGCCACGTGGGAAAACCCCCTCGAGGAGGCAATGGTGAGTCGTGCTTGAATTTCCTTCCTCTGCTCTCTGCTCTCTGCTCTCTGCTCTCTGCTCCTCACCTGCTTTGTCCACCCGCTACACTTTCCTTGTGTCCTTCCTCTTATCCCTCTCCCCCCTCTCTTTCCCCCTGTTTTGCCTCTCTCCCGGCGTCTCCTCCCTTTCCTTTCCTCGTGCCGTATCCTCTCTTAAACCCTTCTCATCACCGTTACCTCCTCCCTTCCTCATTTTTCTTCTCCCTGCCTTGTCTCCCCTCTCTCCTTCCTCTCTCTCCTCCCATGGCTCCCCACAGGCGTCCATGCTACTGCATCCAGACGCAGGTGATATCGTCTTCTCACATCATTCTTTTACACCATCTCACAAGCCTTGTCACACAAGCCACCCACCCACCCACCAGCCTCTCACCATGCCCCTCTCTTCTAGATGGAACAACCACGCTACTCCCACTCCCACCCGTTTGTTTCCCACCATTCTCACACCTTCAGAGATGCACCACATCACATTGCACGCACCATGCATCCATCTGTCAACTCGAGTAGAGAAAGTGGCTGACTTTTGTCATCGGTGATCTTTGAGAAACCCCTCATTCACCTACAACATCACTCGTTCTCAGACCTCCTACCCATTTTCGATTCGACTCAAAAGTAAAAAGTCGCCTCGTTTTGAGTCGACTCGTTTCAAAGTGATATTTGAGAATCCCCTCATTCACCTACAACATCACTTGTTCTCAGACCTCCTACCCATTTTCACGTCTCCCCCCTGGACTGTTTTCTCTCGATCCCCTCTGCTTCATTCTGCTCTCTCCCCCCCTCCCCTCCTCCTCTCCCCTTCCTCACTCCCGTCCTTCCCCATCACCGTGTGCATCCCCAGAGTCGGAGGCTGCGTTGCACCAGCACCTGTCGCTCTTCTTCTCTCTCAAGGACACCATCACCAAGCGAGAGGCCAGAATCATCGCCACTGCTGCTGCCACCTCCTCTGCTCAAGTCAGCCCTGCCATGCTCCCCCTCTCTTTCCTCCTCCTCTCTCTCGCCCTCTCTCTCTCTTTCTCTCTCTCTCTCTCTTGCTCTCATTCCTCTCCCCTTCTGTTCTTTCGCTGCCACCTGCTGCCGGCCGGCACCGTTCCAGCTTTTTGGCACAATCCTCACCCTGTGGTCGCACACAGCCCTTGCCGTCTGTGCCCCCTCATCTTCATTTCGCCCCGTCTTTACCCTGCGGGTTTTTTAAACCCTGCCTGCTGCCGGCTCTTCCTCTAGGCCCCCCTCCCTATTTTGCCTTCTGTTTCTCCAGCTCTCATCTTCCCCCCCACCCACTGCACCTTCTCCCCTAAATCATCAGGTGCGTGAGGTCTTTGGCTCCTTCCGCTCCCATGTGCGCTCGCTCCTCCAATCAATACCCACCACATCTGCACCACCGCAAGACACACCCAACATCACCACAGCCATCGCCACGACCACCGCCACCACAACGGCCACCAACAACCACAACAACAATAACAGCACCAACAACAATAGCAGGGTGCCTGGCATCAGCCCCAGCAGCAGCAGTGCGGTACCAGCAGCAGCAGTGCCTCTCTTCCCTGCCGCACCACCACCTCTCCCTCTGTCCCAGTCAGCTAACAGTGCAGCACCGTCAATGCTGCTTGGTTCCAAACCCACTGCTGCCTCTCCTCCCTTCTCCGCAACACAGACCCCTCTTCATCAGACCCCTCTTCCAGTCACAAGCATTAGTAGCAGCTCTGTCAGTGCTGCAACCGTGAGACCTATTGCACCACAACCGCACTCGTCCCCTTTGCTCCACCCGATCGCTCCCCAGAGCCCTCTTTCAGGATCGAAGCTCCACTCCGCTTCGAAAATCCCAGTGCCTGCTAAACCCCCAGCGTTCAAAACCCCAGCGGCTAAGCTCCCAGTGCCCATCTCTTCTGCATCTTACCTCCCCTCTTCCCACCCCCCCGCGACTCACCCTCCTCGCACGCGGGCAGCCCTTGTGGCAAAGCGCCGCTCGTCCATGCAAAGTGGGAAGGAGAGAGAGGGGGTAGGCGCGCAGGACAGAGCGGGGGAAAGGGTGGGTGAAAAATTGGGGGAAAGAATGGGGGAGAGAGAGGAGAAACCGAGAGAAACTGACCTGGATGCCTTGCTGTCTGCTGCTGAACGCGCCCTTTCCTTCTCATCCGGCCCTGCTTCCAACTCCCCCTCCTCTCACTCTGCTCCCGCCCCTGCTGCCTGGTGGGAGGGGCTGGAGGAGAAGGCGATCGCAGCAGCAAGAGAGGCAGAGGAAGAGGAAGCAGCAGCAGCAGCAGCAGGAGGGCGATCAGGGCCCCATGGCCCATTCGACTCCTCTTCCCCGCTCTCGTCCGCTGCTGGCGCAGCAGCTTCTCCTAACAGTGCATCGGCGCGTGCCGGATGCCGCATTACATCCATCCTGGCCTCCCACCTGCGGCAGGGCACAGGGGGCTTCACGGCACAGCAGGCATCGTTGCTGCAGCTGCTGCTGGTGCGGCCAGTTTCCAGCCTGCGCAAGTGAGTGAGGGCGGGACTAAGGGGCAGGGGGGAGGCGTGTAGTAGCCTATGCGAATGGGTGAGTGGGAAGCCTAAGCGAGTGGGTTGATTGATACAGCAAGGGGTCGAGGTCAGGCGATGGAAGAGGGGCAGCAGGCATGCAGGCAGGCAAGCAGTCGAGCTGCTTATGGTTGGGCGGAGTGCTATGGTCAGTGTGACCTGTTCTGCGTGTCTCATTTGAGGAGTGCTACTCGTTGAGATACCTTTCTCGTCCACCTTACTTCTCTTCGTCCTTGAGCTGTTCCTTGAGCTGTCCGTAAGCTGTCCCTGTAAAGCTGAATCCCTGTCGTTGTGATACCTTTCTCATCGCATACCCACATACATACCTATGCACACATCCCCATCCCTCCCCACATGCCCATCTTTACTCCTCCATCCACACATGCCCACTGGGCCACCCCCCTACATGCACGTGCCTCTACTCTCCCCCTCCCTGACCAACCAGGCTTCTGGAGGTGGAGAGCAGGGCGCCAGTGCTGGCAGCATGGCTCAGGCATGCTGCCGACGAGAGCCAAACCACCATCCTGCTGCTGCTGCTGCAGGTGCGCCCGCCCGCCCGCCACCGCTCCTGCTGCTGTTATGCACGCTGTGCTGTAGCATGTGCTCATAGTGAGACATAATGGGCTGCTGCACATTAGCGCGGGCTTTCCTTCCAACACCCACAAGTTTGTTTCTCCATCAAGGTCAAAGTCCAAGGCCACTTGGGCGCACATTCGACTTACCCTTCTTTCCTTCCCCCCCCTCCCCCCTTCTCCCCCCTCCCCCCTCCCTCCCCTTTCCCGCCACTCCCTCCTCTCTGTCGCTCTTTCTCTCTCCCCGCCCGTCCCACACCCAGCTATTGGCAGCCATACCTGTGTCGCTGGCTGACCGTCCAGTGCTCACGTCTCTCAAGCCACTGCTGCAAGGCCTCTGCTGCTACGAGCCCTCAGGTGGGCACAGTGCACAGCACACCGCACACCGCACCGAGCACCCAGCACACAGCACAGAGCACAGCACTCATGGGATGACGTCCAGTAGCACGCTCCACAACAGCATGCCATTAAACAGCATGCCCTACAATACTACTGTACAGTACTATGACGCACAATGCTGCTGCAGTAGCCAAGGTGCGTGCGTGTGAGTGAGCCATGGTGCCAAGGCGGCTAGGTACCTGTGAGTGATGTCGCCTCTTACCCCGTTTCCCCTCTCCCTCCCCTTCAATCCCCCGCCCCTTCCCCTTCCCACTTACCCCGCCTGCCCCATCAGCGCGTGCCCCATCAGCGCGTGTGAGCCATGGCACTCGCGTGCTGCTCTCGTCCTGCTGTTCTCGCCCCCACCCAAATCCCCCCTCTTCCCCCCTCTTCCCCCCTCTCCCCCCCTCCCCCCATCAGTGCGTGTGAGCCATGGCACTTGCGTGCTGCTGTCCGCCTGGCAGGCACCCCATCCTCACGCCTCCCCTCGTGCCTCCTCTCCTTCGCTGCCCTCTCAGTCGGGTGCGCCCCTCGCCCCTGTTTCTTCTCCCCTTACCCCCGCTCCCCCATCAGTGCTTGTGAGCCATGGAGTGCGCGTGCGGGTGCTGCTCTCGTCCTGCTGTTCTCTCCCCACCCAACTCCCCCCCCCTCTCGCCCTCTCCCCCCCTCTCCCCCCTTCTCCCCCCTTCTCCCCCCCTCTCCCCCCCTCTCCCCATCAGTGCGTGTGAGCCACGGTGCGCGCGTGCTGCTGTCCGCCTGGCACCCCATCCTCACGCCTCCCCTCGTACCGCTGCCCCAGCCGTCGCCGCATGCTGCTCCCACCAAGCCCTCTCTGCACAGGGGGGGGAGAAGTGAGTGCGGGGAAGAGATGTGTGGGGGCGGGCATAGACGAGCACGTGTGTGTGAGTGTGAGGGGTGGAAAAGAAGGGTGAGGGGGGGGGGGGGGGAGGGGGGAGGGGGAGATCGTTGCGGGAGTGAGGAACTGTGAGGTAGCGGGATCGTTGTGGGGATCTTAGCGGGGATCGTTGTGGGGTTGGGGTGAACTGTATTTCAGTCGGCACGTCTTATGGTCATGATAATGTACCCTTGCAATAAAACTCTTCTCAAGTGTTGACTTGTATCTTAAGCGAAGTGAGACGTATCGACCGAGTGGCATGGCACCTTCCTGATGGTCCCTCCATCATATCAAACGTTAATCTTGCCTCGCCTGGCAGGCACATCTCGTCTATTCGCTCTCACTTCACATCCCTTCTGTTGCTTCACATCGCCTCTCACCCTTTCCTGTATGCGTCCACCTCTCTCTCCCCCACTCCTCGCCTCCTCACGCCCCTTCCCCTACCTCCTCCTTCGCCTCTGAAACCATTCTCTCGTCTTTTCAACCATTCAACTCTCCATCCCTCCTCCCTACCCCCTTCCTTTACCCCTTCCCACCGTTGCTCTTCACCTATCCTATACCCCCAACCCTACCGAAACCTCCCCGCCCTCGCCTGCCCCCTCTGCTGTCTGCCCCATTGTCTTCGCATGTGCGCCTGTCGCCCTCCAGTGTTGTCCCCTCCGTCAGCGGCTTACAATATTGGAGTGGACTGAGAAACCCAACCACCCCCCCTGTTCCTTCCCTGTGCGCCTGCCAGTGCTGCCCCCCCCGTCAGCAGCTCATTACCGCCGCATGCGCGACGCTGCAGCCAGCAAGCGATTCGCAGACATCGCGAAACGAGCACAGATAGGTGAGTGGTGGGGGGAGGGGGGGGGGGCAGGAGAGGGAAGGGTGGTGGGGTGGGGGGTGGGGGGAGAGAGGAGGGGGGGGGAACGGTGTTGGTCGATAGGTTCCACACTTGTTGGTCGATAGGCTCCACACTTGTTGGTCGATAGGCTCCAAACTTGTTTCGAGGCACCTAGTAGCACAGCAGCAGGGGGATGCAGTAGTGGGCGTGGCCGTGGGTTCCCAACTTGCTACATGTGCTGCTACTCGCTGCCTCTCCCTGTTCACCTCGTCTTTCTCTTCCCCAGCCCGCCCACCCTTTCCCTTCCCCTAACCCTTCCCCCAACCCTTCCCCCAACTTTTCCCCCAACCCTTCCCCCCAACCCTTCCCCCAACCCTTCCCCCAACCCTTCCCCCAACCCTTCCCCCAACCCTTCCCCCAACCCTTCCCCCAGCCCTTCTCCCAACCCTTCCCCCAACCCTTCCCCCAACCCTTCCCCCAACCCTTCTCCCAACCCTTCCCCCAACCCTTCCACCCTTTCACTTCCATTACCCGCCCCCTAACACCCCGTCCATTTCCAGGCAAGGTTCTCTCTCGTCGTCGAGAAATCACCGCTCCCACGGCCGCACAGGTACTCCCCCGCTCCTCTCCACCTCCCTCCGCTCCCCTCCCCTGCGTTGCGTCCCTCATGCCCTTCTCTCCCACCACCCATCCACCATTGACATGCCCCCTTGAAGCAACCACCAATCCCCACCATCTAACCCCTTCACCCACGTGTAACCACATGACTATGCGCGGGTGTATGTATGTGCGCGAGTGTGTGTGTGTGTGTGTGTGTGTGTGTGTGTGTGTGTGTGTGTGTGTGTGTGTGTGTGTGTGTGTGTGTGTGTGTGCGTGCGCGCGCGCGCACGAGCGCGTGTGTGTTTGTGCGTGTGCATGTGAGTGTGCGTGCACGCGCGCGTGCGTGTGTGTGTGCGTGCGTGCGTGCGCGTGTGTGTGTGTGCATGTGCGCATGCGTGTGTGCGTGCGTGTGTGCGTGTGTGTGTGTGTGTGTGTGCATGTGCGCATGCTTGTGTGCGTGTGTGCATGCGTGCGTGTGTATGGAATTATGTGTGTGTCATTGTGGCACCAGCAGCAGCCCCCAGTGACATCCCCCACAAAGCACTCCCCTCAGCAAAAGGGCCTTCGCCTCTCTGAAGTCGATCAGCAGCTGCGACTTCCGCCAGGCAAGCATCCACACACCCCCTCCTCCTTCTCCTGTACCTGCCCCGACTCCCCTCGCTCTCTTCTGCTGTCTCTGGTTCCTCCTCTTCCCTTCCCCCCACTCCTTCCTGCCTCCCTCTCTCCCTCCCTCCCTCCCCCCCTTTCTCGCTGCCTCGCCCCCTCCCCACCTCAGGCGACAAGCGTGCAGTGATGGTATCAATCGCCTCGGCGTCCCATGCGTTTGGCAAGCCGGCACCGCACCACCGCCCGCTCTCTGTCGACGACATCATGCACGCCAAGCGGCGCCGCATGCAGCAGCAGCAGCAGCAGCAGCAGCAGCAGCAGCAGCAGGGGCAGGGGAAGAGGCAGAAAACAGTGCTGGGAGAGAGGGTGCAGGGGGGAGAGGGTGGGAGGGAGGTGGGAATGTCAGACGTACAGGTGAAGTGTGAAAAGATGGGTGACGGGGAGGAGGGGAAAGGCGGGGCAGCCAGGGGTGAAGGGGTGGGGGGGTTGGTTGGCCAAAACGTTGATGCGAAAGCGGGTGAGGAGCAATGGAGTGTGGGAGGTCAAGGAGAGGAGCAGGGGAAGAGTGAAGAGGCGCGACTGACGGCAGGAGGCGGACTAGCCACATCAGCAACAGCAACTGCCACACCAGAAGCAGCAGCAGCAGCAGCAGCAGCAGGAGCAGTAGCCGCAGCAGCAGGAGCGACAGCAGGTGGAGGGGTGAAGAGGGAAGAGATTCGTCCCGTAACCAAAGCAGCACCTGCTAACATGTCGGCTCGGCTGGGCAGCAGCAGCAATGGTAGCGACGGGTTTGGAGGGATCTCTCGCTCCTATGTGGGGCCTGCTCGCCTCAGACTCATGGGCCGAGGTGCGGGGAGGAGTAGTAGCATGGGGGCAAGGGGGGCTGCCGGTGCCAGGGGGTATGCTCCTCCAGCTGCTTTTGCTTCTCCAACTGCTGCTGCTGGCAGGGTGAGAGTAGACGGAGGCTTGGACTGGGGCGCGGGGGGGGGAGGGAGAAGGGCCGGAGGGGGCCAGGAGGCGGTGGTGATTGGATAATGGGTGTGGACTCAAAGGAGCACGTGCAGGGTATGGGGAATAGGGCTGTGCCGCAATCACCAGTGCCGGCGGCATCAGGAGCTGCAGCAGCAGTAACATCACGTGAAGCATTAGCAGTACCAGCAGCAGTGACAGCGGCGGCAGCTGAGGCAGCAGTTAGTGTATGCGGTGTCAAGCAGGAGCCAGAGTTTATGGAACCACCGTCTCAAACCACTCACAGCCTGATGCCAGCACAGAGAGAGGCAGGGGCAGCAGAGGGGACGGGAAGCATGCTGCAACGGGGGGTTGCAGGGGCAGCATGGATGGGAGGAATCGGGCGAGCAGGGGGGATGGGGAGAGTGGTGGGACGTACTGAGACACGAGGCCCCGAACCAGGTTCCTGTACAGCCTTGGACGTCGAGACGAAGCCACCGGTGGAAGCTTTGGGAGGCTTTGGACCCAAGGGGGCGGTGGGAGCGGTGGGAGCGGTGGTTGTTGTGGTGAGTGGGGGCGGTATGAGTGCTGAGAGAAGTGAGGTTTCTGCGGGAGGTGCTGTAGCTGAGGTCACAACGGGTGCTGCTGCTCCTGCTGCTGCTGCTGATGCTGCTGCTGCTGGAGGTTTTGGAGAGAGGGGGGCTGTGGAGGAAGCAGAGGGTTTAGGGGCGGCACAGGAGGTGCCATCACGAGCAGCGGATGTTCACATGGAGGAGAGTTGGTGCGAGCCCGTTGCTGCGTTTGAGTCAACTCAACAGCAGGCTCAGGCTGCTTACATGCAGCATGTTGCTGCTTTGGCGGGCCAGAAAGTGGTGGAGGACGGCGGCGCGGGCGGGTGCGAGCAGGATGGCTCATTGTTGGCGCAAACAGTGGGGGGAGGAATCTGGATGGATGCTGGTGTGAGCAGAGAGGGCGGAGAGGAGGTGGAGATGATGGGGATGGATGGGCATGGCTTGCACAGGGCTGAGAGCAAGGGCGGTGAAGAGTGGATGGAAGAGGGTGGGGATGGAGAGCGATTCATTGCTGCTGGTACTGCTGCTGCCTCCCTGGCGGCTACTGCACCTGATGCTGCAGTGCTTGCTGCATCGGCAAAGGAAGAGGCACAGGAGGAAGGGGCGCTGGTGGGAGCGGCCGGAGCAGGAGAGCGGGTGGAGGGACATGGAGGCGTATCCGAAGCAGTCCTTGCTACTGTTGCTGCGGGTGCAGGTGGGGCAAGGTGTGAAGGCTCAGTTGGGGATGCGGAAATGGGAGCAGCGGGGGGAGAGGTACAGATGGGCGTCATAGGGGGCAATGTGAAGGACGAGAGGGTCCTGGGGATGGTGCGGATGGAGGTGCGTGAAGGGCACATGACAAGGGATGGGGCGGTAGAGGGGATTAATGAAGAGGCGAGCGAGGTAGCGGAGGTGATGAGGCCGATGGCAGAGGTTGTTGCAGCAGCAGCGCCCGGAGACGGAAGGGAGGAGCAGCAGCAGGAGGAAAAGGAGAGGGAGGAGGGGGAGGAGCGCAAGATAGGGAAGAAAGAGGAGAGCGACGGCAAGGAGAAGGCCAAGAAGGAGGGGGGAGAGAAAGAGGATGAGAAGGAGGAGGAAGAGGAGGATGAGGAGGCTCTAGATAGAATGGTTTTGGAGATCATTGGGGTGCAGGAGAAGGGGAGGGCTGAGCGGCACATGGGTGGCATGGGTGGTGCGGACGCGGCTAATATCGGGCGCCTGGTGATGGCTATGATGCTAGGCGTGGTGCCGTGGAAGAAACCACCAAGTAAGATGGTGATTGTGGCTATTTCTTGGGTTACCGGTGCCTGGTGATGGGGCTATTTCTTGGTTACAGTGGCATGGTGATGGTGATGTGTATGGTTGTGATGGTGATTTGCAAAGATGTGATGATGCTGTATGGCTGTAGTTTTGATCATGCTGTTCATAATCGTGATGACAATGCTTATTACAGCTGTCATAACCCTGCTCAACCCTGCTCAACCCTGCTCAACCCTGCTCAACCCTGCTCAACCCTGCTCAACCCTGCTCAAGCCTGCTTAACCCTGCTCAAGCCTGCTTAACCCTGCTCAAGCCTGCTCAACCCTGCTTAACCCTGCTCCCAATCCCTCTCGTCTGAACTCTCCCATCCGCTCCAACCCCCTGAACTCATGCCAGTCATGCAGGCACCCATGTCAATCCATCCCCTCTTCCGCCCCTTCCCCCCTTCCTCTCCTCCGCCCTTCACCCCTTTCCCCCCCTTCACCCGGTGCCCTTGCTGCGTCAAACCACCTCCAGGGGTGCACACAGAGTCGGCTACTGTGGTGTTGGCGTGGGGGGAGGGGGCAGCAGTGAGTTGCAGTGCGTGGAGCGCCACATCTCCTCGCTCGTAGCGCAGGGCGTACGCCGCACACCCTCCTCGAACGGGTGGACGCTGGAAAGGAGGGGGATGATGATGGTGATGATGATGACGCAGGCACCTTGTAATCCCAATCCCTTTTCCGCCCCTTCCCCCCTTCCTCCCCCCTTTCCCTCCACCCTTCTTCCCCTGCTTTAACTCACCCTGCCTGACACACCTCAGGCATACATACCCAGGCCGGCCCGGTGGTGGTGGCGCATGGGGAGGGCAGCAGCGAGCTGCCGCGCGTGGAGCGCCACATCGCCGCGCTCGTAGCACAAGGCGTACGCCGCACACCCGTCTTCAATGGCTGGTCGCCTGCCGAGCCCGTTTCTGAGAGAGACACCGGGGAGGAGGGGGATGACGGGATGACCCCTGTGATCCCCACGGTTGTGCAGAAGAAGGCGAGGGAGGAGGTGGGTGGGCGGGAGCAGCAGGGGGGGAGAGGGCGGGAGGCGGGAGGAGATGGGATGGGTGGGCAGCAGATGAAGCAGAAGCAGGGGCAGCAGCAGAGGTACCCCCAACACACGCGGCAGCACCAACAGCAGCAGCAGGAGGAGCATGTTCAGCAGTCGTTCCAGCATGGGCAGAAGCAGCAAGTGCCGCATCAACAATACCGATACTCCCAGGGTACTCAGCAGCAGCAGCGGCAGCAGCAGCAGCCGTTGCGCCAGGAGTCACAGAAGAATCAGTACTCGTATAAGCAGCAGCAGCAGCTAGAACAGGCGTCATTCCGCCATAGACATGTGGATGCAGATCTGCAGCAGGAGTACCCGTACACAGAGCAATACCAACCGCAGCAGCAGCAAGAACTTCGTCAGCAGCCGTACAAGCATGCGCCGAAGAAACAGCCTCTGCAGCATCAGCAATACCAGGATGCACAGTCGCCGCAACAACACCATCACCAGCAGCAGCAGCAAAAGCATCAGGCGCAGGCACAGCAACCACGGCAAGCGCGGCGAATACAGCAGCAGCTGCAGGAGCAGCAGCAGCTTGTAAACCCAGAGGAACCGGAAGGACTGGAGCAATTCGACTTTGAGCCACAGCTGGAGGGGCAGGTGGGACCTGGGGAAGGATATGGCGACCAATGGACAGACCCACAGCCGCAGCAGCAGCAATATGAGCAGTATGGGCAGGGGTGGGCTGAAGAGGAGCTTGGGTACGGAGAGGAAGGATACGAGGAGGATCAACAACAAGCTTGGCCGTACAACGATGTCTCGGATGGGAGAGGGCAGAGGCAAAGAGCAAAGGACACCAAGAACCACAATGTCAGGCATCTGAGCAAACCACTAACTTAGAAGAATACGGTAGCCCGTGCATGCCTGTCTTGTGTCAGCCCAGCTGTCTTTGCCTATGTTGTCTTGTCTCTGCCCTTTGCTGTCTCTGGTCCATTCTTCTTATGCTCTGCTGTGCTCTCCGCCGCTCCCATGCCTGCTTGCCTTCGGAAAGAGCAAGCATAAGCCATAATGCCAGAAAGTGCATGACGATTAAGTGTGCTTTATACCAGGCCAGAAAAGCGGCAAAGGCACTGGGCTCACAAATATTGTAATCATGCTTCATTGCAGCACAAGGTCTGCACTGCGGCATGATGATAAAAGTTACCCAACTATGCTAATCCTTCTCAAGCCTAGAGGGAATGTTTCGAGCTTTAGTGTCCTTGCTATGCAGCACTCGTTACCCCTCTTATCTACTGTGCTGCACTGCAATCCTTCCCCTTGCATCACTTCCTTTCGTATGCATGGTTCGATGTTGTGCGGTCTTTTTTCACAGCCCCATTCAATGCACTGTATCCTTTTCCCTTGCTCTTCCTGGGATCTCTCTCCACATCTCAGCAACTTATTATCGCAAAATGGCTCACTACCGCGCGCTCCCCCCCCAAACCCTCCCTCCCTCCCTTTTGGCCACTACCCATGCTCATTGCCGTAACATCCCCATTTTCCCTGCTCCACTCTTTCCCACCCTCCTTCCCTATGTGTGCAACACAGTGGGCTGACAATATGTGGCAATGATAGTGACATGCTGGCAGAAGGGGACTGTACAGGATCTGAACATGTGGTCCATGCAAACAATGATTGGATGCATGCGATCGTGTGTCAGCCTGACAGCCTGTTGTGGGTGGGAGTGTTGCTAGCATGATGACCAATCAGATGTTGATGGAATTAATAAAAGTTAAATTCCTTTTTGAAACGTGGTGGGGGGGATAAATACTGCTGAATTTGGTTGCTTCATTTCTAACTAATGTGACATGAATAGTACAGTGCCGAATAGGCCCTTTTTAGCTAACTTTATAACCATAACCCACGTCCTTTTTAGGCGGTTCACTATTCTCCCCTGCACTTCGTAGGGATTGGGTGCCGCCAAGGCAGTCTGCGAAAGGTGCCCGTGGCAGTGGCAAGGGATTGGTTGAGTTTGTTTTTGCGAAGTCCCCAAATATATGTCATTTTAACTGCAATGTCCCTGTTAGAGCGAATTCTAGAGATTTACTTGCTGGGTGCAAGATTGAACCATTGTAATAGAATTTCCAAAACAAACCAGCTTGTCAGATTTGCCATTTTCACAGCTATCCCACCATCATAATGCACCTCGCAAAATCAGCACTAGTCCTTGGGGTAATCTGGGTTGTTTGTTGCTTGGAGGCAGAGTGCGAAAAAAATGGAGTTTTGCAGGGCAGCTCTGAAGCGTTTTTTGCGTCCTTGACCCACTCCGTCCGTTGAGCGCGGAGGTTCCGCCGTGCCCGCGACGTGGGAATCTCGAGGGTTTCTGCGAAGCAGTCTTCGCCCCCCCTCCCCCGTCCCCCGAGATTCTCGCCCTCGCGCCCTTGCATGGAGGAGCCCCCCAGGCTGGTTGGTGGCGGACTTGGGGGACTGCTGTGGCGGAAAGAACCTCCCTGGTTCTGCCGTGGGTCCGTGGTTGCCCGCTAACACGCCACACCCACGCCGCGCGGTTCCGCGCACCTCTGCCTCTGCCACTACGCGCGCCCTTCTGCTTGCCCCAGGCGCCAGCCAGGCCCAGGGGTCCAGGGAACCTCTCTCCCTCCCTGCCAGCTCCCCTCCCCTCATCCATTCTGGTCTGGCCCCCCCACCCACTCCACTTCCTGTGCTCCAGGCAAGCTGCTCTGCCTCCGCCCCCAGCAATTAGGTTTCTATTATTACTCTTCAATTGCTTCACATGTGTACCAGCAGGTCGAGGGAAGTTTGGCAAAACTAGTTGAGGTGGATACGTGCGGTCTGGCTTGCGGTGGAGGTGGAAGATAGTAGTCGATGGGTCCACGCTCAGACATGCTGAAGACGTCGAGCGCGGGGAGCATGCGGGATGACGACAGCGACGACGAGAGTCGAGTCGTGGAGGAGGATCCAACTGGCAGATACTGTCGAGTACGTTATCTATTTCGTTAACGATGTCGCCTATTTGTTCGACCTTTTCCTGCCACGCTGTTGTGCTTATCAGCGCGCTGTGGAATGCCATGCTTTCTTCGTTGCTCGAATTAGACAGGTTAATCGCTGGTGCGGGCATGACGTGTCAGTTATCGATGGTCGCGTGAAATTCGAAACGAAATAGAGGAATGGAGTTATGTCACGGAAGCCTTCAAGCCGCTTTCATATGGCGTTTTCGATTTGTTGGGATTCGCGCCGTTTTTTTAATTCGTCTTATCATCTTTCTCGTATGAATGCCGTTTATCTAAGATATATTTCTCCTCGGATAGTAGAGGGTGACTGCCTTTACTGCACTCGGCTGCCTCCGTCAGTCATTCCTCCGTCAGCCATTCCTGCGTCGTGTCCTTCGCGTGGACTCGGGCATCATGTCGTCATGTCGTGTTACCACTGAGCCATGCCTCTCTTTTCCTTTCCATCCCCTTCCCTTTCTAACGGCTCTGGCTGCTCTGAGCTTTGCCTTACGGTCGGGTTGTTGCCGCGTCTCACGCTTTGGGAACCTCTCTTGCCTCCCCACCTCCCGTCAACCATAATCCGCTCCACCATATTGTGCAGTTCAGCGTCGTTTTGGGAAAAGGAGCCTTCAAGACAGTGTAAGCAGCACACCTTGTCCACTTTTTTCCTTCGGCATTTCGTCACATGCTCCCGGCGGCTCGCCATGTCTGTCTGCCCTCGTTTCCGATAGCTCACTGTTCACTGTTCCAGTCTTTTGTAGACTGGCAACGATTGTCGCACTACTTCGTCACACGCCACGTGGCGTCTTTCTTTCCCCCGCAACCTTACTCGCGCCTGTCTTTCAATTGCCGGCGCCAACGTCGCATTCGCGCCGCGCTCTCCATTCCCTCACTCGCTTGGCACGTCACCCCCACGTCAATCCACCAAACAGAGCGCTGATTCGTCAAAGCCGTCACCTTTCTCCTCATTCGCGTTATCGCATCCGTCCCGTTTCAGATACAAAGCGTTCGACAAGGCGGAGGGCATCGAGGTGGCTTGGAACCAGGTGCAAGTGCGCGACGTGTTCCAGTCGCACGAGGAGCTCGAACGCCTCTACTCCGAAGTGCACCTGCTCAAGACCCTGCGCCATAAGAACATCATCAAGTTCTACGACTCGTGGGTGGACTCCCGCAACAAGAACGTCAACTTCATCACCGAGGTCTTCTCGTCCGGCACGCTCAGGCAGTACGCTCTCTCATTCGCGCTCGCTCTCTCGCTCGAGTTCTCGCCCCCGCCTTATCCTCGCAATTGCCTTATGAGTTTCGGTCGCTTGCGTGATGCATCGAATCAGTCGCTCTTGATTCCTGGGTCCGTCACTTGACGCGTGCCTCGCGTGTAGTGCGCACCGCACTGTGCTCCGTATTGCACGATTCTCCGTCATCAGCGTCTCATTTCCTTCTCCTCGTTACTCTCCCTTAACCGCCTCTCCTCTTTTTTCCACCCCACTACCCTTCTTCTCCCCCTTACCCCCCGCTTGCGCCGCGTCAACGCGGCGTCCCCCTCCTCCCACCTTCCCCCCTCCATCCCGCGCGCGCACCGTCAGGTTCCGGCAGCGGCACCGGCAGTGCGACCTGCGCGCGATCAAGAACTGGTCGCGGCAGGTGCTGCGCGGGCTGTTCTACCTGCACTCGCACGACCCGCCCATCATCCACCGCGACCTCAAGTGCGACAACATCTTCATCAACGGCAACCAGGGCGAAGTCAAGATCGGCGATCTGGGGCTCGCGGCTATCCTGCACCACAGGGACGCCGCTCACAGTGTGATAGGTGAGAGGGGGGGTGAAGGAAGGGAGGGGGGATGGGGTTGGAGGGGTCGCAGGTTGAGGGAGGGGAGGGGTTGGTGGGGGAAGAGGAAAGAGCGGTGGAGAAGCGGGGTTGGTAGGATGTTCCCTCAAATCCGCACCATTCGCTTGGGTACTGACATCACACCCCCCCCCCCCTCCCCCCCCCAATTCTCCCCAATCCCCCCCGCCCCTATCCCGTCCCCAGGCACGCCGGAGTTCATGGCGCTGGAGCTGTACGAGGAGGAGTACAACGAGCTGGTGGACATCTACGCGCTCCAGGTGGTGCTACTCCCGCAAGGCCCTGCGTTTCCGCCAACACCGCGTTCCCCATTCCTGTTCCTCCCCCCTCCCTCCCCCCCTCAGGCACGCCGGAGTTCATGGCGCCGGAGCTGTACGAGGAGGAGTACAACGAGCTGGTGGACATCTACGCGTTCGGCATGTGCGTGCTGGAGATGATCACGCTCGAATACCCGTACAGCGAGTGCAGCAACGCCGCGCAGGTCTACAAGAAGGTCTCCGAGGTGCGTGCCGCACCGTATTCTGGAGTGATGTGGGGTGAGGTGGGGTCATGTGGGGTTGTTTGATGTGCGCTGCTTCCCTCCGCCGCCTTCCTGTTCTTCTCGCTTACGCGCTTTCCACCCAGCTTACTCCTCTCCCTCCCCTCGTCCCTCCTTTCAGCCTCACTCAAACCCCCCGTCACCCCCTCCCCGCAACACTCCCCGCCCGCCGCCCTCCGCCCGCAGGGCAAGAAGCCCCAGGCGCTGCAGCGCATTGCGGACGAGGGCATGCGCGAGTTCGTGGAGACGTGTCTGGCAGACGCCTCCCGCCGCCTGCCCGCGCGCGACCTGCTGCGCCACCCCTTCCTCGCTGAAGGCTCTGGCCCCCTGCAACAGACGCCCTCCGCCAATCCCCCCTCCGACCGCGCTTCCCGCCCGCCCGCTTGGGAGGGCGGAGTGGGGAGCAGGTCGGGGAGGGGCGGGGGGAGCAAAGGCGGGAGGTGGGGGGAGAGTGGGGGTAGCGCGTGGGGAGGTGGAGGGGAGAGGGGGATGGGGATGGGTTGGCTGGGGGGGGATGAGGTGGTGAGCTTCAGAGGGGGTGAGGGCGGGCGGGGGGAGAGGGGAGGGGGGAGGGAAAGGGGAGGGGGGGCGGCAGGAGGTGGAGGCAAGGGGGAGGAGGCGTGGGTGTGGGACACGAATCTAGAGGTGCCTAAGGCGGTGGGGACGTGGGGGAAACAGGGGGGGGAGGAGGATGAGGAGGTTAAGGGCAATAGGGCGGGGTGGGCGGAGATAGTGGGACTTATGGCGGAAACTTTGCAGCAGCAGGAGATGATGGAAGCGAGGGGGGGAGGTACGAGTGTGGAAGTTAGTGAGAGAGGGGTGAGAGAGGACAGTGAGGGAGTCGGCAGGGGAAGGGAAGGGGAGGGAGTGGGGAGGAGAGAGAGTGGGAATGCGAGAGGAAGTGGCAGTGGGAAAGGGAGTGGGAATGGGGGTGAGAGTGGGGAGCGGGAGCGGGAGAGGCATGGGGAGTGTGGTGGAGCAGAGGGACGTGGAGAGGAGGGGCGTGTTGAGGAGGAGGAGGGGTTGGGCAGGGTGGAATCAGATGTGGAGTTGGAAGGGGATGGGGGGGGGAAGCAGCAGGATGGCAGCACTGTGTGCATCAGGCTGAAGCTCGCAGATGGCAAAGGTATTCCCCACGATGCACATTGTCTTGCGGCTTGTTCCTCCTTCCCCCTCCTCCACTTCCTCAGGCAGTCCAATCTCCTAACGCGCCCTTCGCCCCACTCCTCTCCCTTCCCTTCCCCCCAAACCCCCCTCTCTCTCCCTCAATCCCTCCCCCAGGGCGCACGCACGTTATCCAATTCCCCTTTGACACGGCGCGTGACTCAGCGTTCAGCGTGGCGTGCGAGATGGTGGAGGCCCTGGGCCTGCCAGACTCCTCTCTCGCCTCTGTTGCTGACGCCATCGACGCTCAGCTCCTCGCCCTCGTTCCCCCCTCCCATGCTGCCGCGGCTGCTGCTGCTGCTGCCGCTGCCGCCGCCGCCGCCGCTGCTGCTGCTGCCGCTGCCCTGGTCGTTGCTTCTAGCTCTGGTGGTATTGCTGGTGGTGCTGCTGCTGCTGAGGGTGCTGCTAGTGGTGCAGCAGATGTTGAGATGGAGCGGGAGGATGGGCGTGCGATGGTGGAGGGAGACGGAGAAATGGAGGAGGGTGGGGAAGGGGAGGGGGTGGGCGGAGGGTCGAGGCAACAGGGGGCACAGGTTTCACCGCCACAGTCCTTGGGAAAGGGGGGGGTAGGAGGGGGTGCAGGGGGGATGGGTGTGGAGAGTGGGGGATCGGTCCGAGGGAGCTTGCGAGGAGATGAGCTGTATCTGGTGGAGGAAGAGGAGGAGGAGAGGGCGGAGAGAGGGGAGAGAGGGGAGACAGGGGAGACAGGGGAAAACGCGGGGTGTGTGTTGGGAAGTGGGAAGGTTGGTGAGGAGGGCGGGAAGGCCGGTGGTGTGAACGGTGGTGGGGAGGAGGTGAGGGAGGAAGCAGTGGAGGGGGGAGGAGCAGAGGGAGGGAGAGGGGAAGGAGGAGAGGAAGAGGGGGAAGAGGCTGGGGCAAGCGCCGTAGGCAAGTCAGAGGTGCAGAGCAGCAGGACTGGGGAGGCCGATCAAGAGGCGGAGCACCGTGGCGACGAGATGGAGGAGGAGGAAGGGGGCGGGGTGGAAGAGGAGGTGACAGAGGAGGCGGAGGGGCAGCAGACGGAAGCAGAGGCGCATGAAGCGCAGCAGGAAGGGGGGTTGGAGATAGGCGAGGGCCCAGAACCTGGGGTGTTGGCGTCAACAGCGAGCGACGTGTATCCAGCCATCAGCGTAGCGACTGAGAGGAGGCGGCCCGTGCGGGTAGGGTCTGCTGGCAGCCCGACCACCACCCCTGTAGGGCGAGGGCGAGGAGGCGGAGGCGGAGGCGGAGGAGGAGGAGCAGCAGGGACGAATTCGTCCTCGCATGGTCCTACGATCATGGCTCGTCTGGCGTCTAAGATGTTCCCTCTCAGCCTAGCCAAGCTCGCCTCGTCCAAGCGCAACAGCTACCTCCCGCCCGGCAGCAGCAAGCCGATCCGTGTCAACAGCATCACGTTTGGCGTGGGCACGCACGTGGGGCAGCGGCTGGGAGCGGTGCCGAGGGGTGTGTCGCGGTTGCTGGGGATGGACGGGGCGGTGGATGTGGACGAACTTCAGGTGCACGGGCGGTTTGTGTCGTTCCGATCGCCCACAGGGGACAGTAGCAGGAGCTCCATTGCATCCTCGTCTCAGTCTGCCGCGTCGCCGGAGCTTAAACCGTCTCCTGCTACTGCTGCTTCTTCCCCAGGGGAGTGGGGTGTGGGGGAGGAGGAGGGCGGCGGCGGGGGGGTTATCCTCGGCAATGATACTGGTGGTGGCAGTGCACGTGGTGGTAGTGATGCGCTGCCTGCCGTTCACGGTGAGGATGATGAGGCGCGGCTGCCTCGAGCGGGGTCCGTGGATAGCAGACGCGTGGTGGAAGGAGCGGGCCGCATGGCAGCTGCTGGCGTAAATCGCACTGCTGCTGCTGCGGCTGCTACTGCTGCTGTTGATGGTGATGCGGATGGCACAGTCACATCATGTTACAGTCACAGCGGGGAGCTGGCACCGCTCTCCCTGCCGCCGCTGCCGTCCCTGCCGTCGGTCACTAAGGCCCTAGGCCAGTCGCCCATGATGCGGAGCCTTAGCGTGGGCATGGGCAGTCTCGTGCACGCGGCAGCAGCGGCAGAGCATGAGGCGATGCAAGGGGCAGAGGGGCAGGGCGACGGGGGTTTGGGGCCGGATGGGAGGGTCCTTGGGTGGGACGGTAGGATGTCCAGGTTTGGTGAATCGCCGCGCGACAGTGTGGCGAGTGGGACAGAGGAGGGAGGAGATGGCGAGGCTGGGAGGAAAGGGATGGGTGGGGTGGGATGGGGAGGTCTGGAGAAGGGTTGGGAGAGGGGTGTTGGCAGTGGGGGCGAGATGGAGAGGAGATGGGCGGTGTTGGCTGAGCAGGAAGCGGGGTTGGTAGCTGAGATGGAAAGGGAGATAGCAGCAGTGAGGAAGAGGTATGAGTCAAGGATAACGCACGTGCATGCACAGATACTGGCACTTAGTGCGAAGGGGGGCGGGGGCGATGAGGTAGGGGTGGGAAGGGCAGGGAAAGGGGAGGAGCAAGCGAGTGGGTTTGGGGTTGGGGGTAGAGTCAATGGGAATGTGGGTGGTGGCAGTGTTGCTGAGAAAGGGACGTCTGGGAATGCTGGGGTGCAAGGGGGAAAGGGTGGTGGTGTAGGTAAGGAGCAAGGTGGTAGGACATGCAGGCATGCGGAATGCAGGGAAGCGGGATGCACGGATGGGGGACAGAGGGATGGGGAATGCCAGGACGGGGAATGCTGTGTAATTCCACAGTTCAGCCAGCATGTAGCAGCAGCAGCAGCAGCACAAGGAGGCAGCTGTGAGAGAGGCAGTGGATGCAGCGGTGGGAATTGCCCGTCGCCTGTCTCTGCTCCTTCTGTAAACATCCCCCCTGCCTACTCATCTCCTGCCGCCGCTCCTGCTGCCGCTCCTGCTGAAGCTCTGGTGAAGGTGCCCTCCATTAAAGTGACTATCGCGGCCCCTACTACACCGCCTGCTGTAACTCCTCCTGTGCTTGCAACAGCTACTGCCACTGCTGCTTCGGCCATTTCGCCCTCGGCTACTGTCGCCTGTGTGCCTCCCACTCCTGAGTCCACGGCCTCACCTGCTCGCCCTGTCTGCCCCCCCGCTCGCTCTGGGAACAGTGCTGCTGCTCCCCCTGCATCCCGACCTGGCAAGAGGTTCGGGATGCTGGAGGGAGAGGTTGGGGACGGCAGTGGCAGCAGCAGCAGCAGCAGCAGCAGGAAGCAAGGAGTTGCAGACAGGCCTTCCTCACACTCTGCTGAAAGGGTAGCAGCAAGGCCCCTGGATGCAGCAACAGCGACAACAGCAGAGGCGGTAGCCATAGAAGCGGCAAGCAGGGATTTAGCAGCAGCAGCAGCAGCAGCAGTGCCACGGACATCATCATCATCAGGGCCGTTGTGTCTAACCGGCTCGCCTCCTGGCAAGCCCAGCAGCAGCAGCAGCAATGGCGGCGGCAGTAGTCCTTGCATGGGCTCCAGTGCTTATGGGGGGGGGGTTGTCGACAGCGGTTACAGGATGCCCAGCAGCAGCAGCAGCAGCAGCAGCAGCAGCAGCAAGGCAGGAAGAGAAATGGTGGAGCGGTCCATTGCCCTTATGGAAGCCAGCATTCTAGAACGGCTGCCTTGCAGTAGTGCTAAGCTGGGCGTGGGCTCGCCCACTCTTTCTGCTCCTAGTATCTGCCACCGCCCGGCTGCTGTGAGGGTTGGTGGTGCCGGCGGCGCTGGTGTAGTTGCCATGGAGGGAGGTGTGGGTGTGGGTGTGGGGGCTGTGGGTGTGGTAGCAGCCTTGGGCAAAGCAGGCCCGGGTTTAGCCTCAATACGCCAATCGGCAAGAGCACAGTCGCCTAGCTATGCCTGTTCATGATTGCTCAAGGCATCTCCCTTCACAGTTGCATGGTTGTATAACATGTCTTCTACCTGTTCCCGTTGCCTGTACAGTGCTAGTTTTTCAGTTTACTGTAGGTCGGCGTAGTTGAAAAGCATTTTTACTATGAGTGCTAGAGCGTATGGCACTTGAGCTAGATTGTAGAGTTGTAAGGAGATTTCATGTGCATGTTGCCCATTGTCTCTTTTGACAACTTTTCAAAAGGCTATATGATTACCTTCAAGCATTGTCCTGTCTACACCTCAACTGCCTCTCCCGTGCCAACCGCTGGCTTCCTGTAGCGAAGAGTCGTGCATGAACCCTCGCTGCAGTTCCCAAGGAAACGGAGCCTCTGCTTTCGAAGGACGTCATACCGTACGATGTGGCGCGTGCTCTCATCCTATCATAACCTCCCGAGTCTCTGACACTCATGGCGTGACTCCTGGCGTGACCCATGGTTGCGTGTACTAATGGGCGCCGAGAGCCCGGACTCCGGGCCGCTGCTCGGAGCTGCCGCTTGCCTCGAGTCGCTACTATTGCTGCAGCGGCCACTACTAGCCTCTGCGACCCACCCGTGATGCCTTGCGGTGCTTTCGGCGATTACTTTTATCCCTGTCGAACCTTCGGCTCATACACAGTCGGTCTCTGCCTGTCGTGACCCTCGTAGTTTCTGAGTGACTCTCGCCTCGCGTATCTACCCGGTTCATATTTTGGAGGCGCCTCAAAATAGACTCGCGGGGAGCGTATCTACCCACTTTCTCAGGGGAGAGCGTGTCTGCGGAGCGTAGTACCCGTTCTCAGTCGATACATACTCCTTGCAGCATAGTGGCAGCGTCGTCGTGGGCCGTCCACCTCCTCGTGATAATCTTACTTTTGAGGCGTCTCAAAACTCCTTGCGTAGTACAACGTCGTGGGCCGTCCACCTCCCCGCGAGAGAGCGAGCGCCGTCAGCACTTCAATTGTGCGATTTGCGGCAAGTGTTTTCTGCGGGTGTTCCTCAGGACTTCCTCAACAGATCCGCTTTTGAGGCGACTCAAACGCAGACTTCCTCAACAGATCTGCTACAATGAAGAAGGGGCCCGCCGACCGAGCAGACGTGCGACGCGGCTTCCCGCCAACAGGCAGAGCCGGACTTGTGCGGCCGTTCTTGAGCGGCCTTCGTCCCTCCTCGCTTGCCGTCGTTGTCTTGCTGACGCTCACCGTCGGCGGATCCCAAGGTACTACTGGCTATCGCTGGCCGTTTGACGCTCCGACCTCTCCACCTGCTCCCTCTCCGGCTTTCCACCATCCCATTCCCCTCGCCCGCCCAACCACTTCCAACCCCCCCTCCCCGCTCACTCCCCTCCTCCCCCCCCCCCCCCTCTCCCCCGCTCCACGCCCTTCCCTTTCCTCTTCCCCATTCCCTCCCTTCCTCCCTCTCCCCGTGTGACACACACACGCCGGCACCATCGCCAGTTCGCATACACCCCGCCCCGCACAGTCCCCACGCCACTCACAACGCTCGTCCCACTACTCATTCCCATCCCTGCCGTGATATCGCAGGTGCAGCCACGGCAGCAGCCACGGCAGCAGCAACGGCGGCAGGATCGGCGGCAGGATCGGCAGCAGCCGAGGCAGCGTGCGAGGGATCGGCTTGCACACTGCAAGGTAGTAGTAGTAGGTATCCAGCGTGTGTGTGCGGTTTAGGCATTGCTTTTTGTGCAGCATGGTGCTCCCTCACTGCTATTGGCTCACTGCTGTCCCTCCCACGCGGCACGCATCATGAAGGCGCCTTAAAAAATCGTTCCTATAACTCTCTCCGCCCTCCCTTCCTCTGTGCACGCACCAGTGTCCGGCTCGCTCCCGCCAGAGCACGTGCTCTTCCTCTCTCTCTACCACGCGCGCTATGCGGCCAGTGCCCCTTTTTGAGGCGCCTAAAAAATAGCTTCTGTACCTCTCCCCTCCTCTCCCCCATCCGCGCCCACCAGTGTCCGGCTCGCTCCCTCCAGAGCACGCGCTCTTCCTCGCGCTCAACCACCTGCGCTATGCGGCCGGCGCCCCGCCCGTCTGCAACTCCACTGTGCTGCGGGCAGTTGCCCGGGAATGGCTGCGCAACCTGTGGCTTGCAGGACTCACGCCTGAGTGCGGGAATGGGTCACTGGGCCCTGCTGCTGCAGCAACATCAGGTAATGGCTCATGAATTTTGAGGCGCCTTAAAAAATGGGCTGTGCAACCTGTGGCTCGCAGGCCTGGTTGAGTGTGGGAATGGGCCACTGGGCCCTGCTGATGCAGCAGCAGCATCAGGTGTGACTTATGTGGGCGTAGGTGTGTATATGGCTGGTTGGGATTGGAATCGGGAGAAGACTGTTGCGCAACGGAAGTGATGGCTGTGGGTTGAAAAAATGCAGATTTGGTAGTCAGGATGGGTGTGTGTGTTGCGCTAGTGCCCTGCATTTTACAAAGCCCCTTGTCCTTCAGCCGTGCCATGTCCCTCATTCATTCATTCATTCCTTCATTCATTCATTCATTCATTCATTCATTCATTCATTCATTCATTCATTCATTCATTCATTCCCCTCCTGCCATGCCCCTTCTGTGCCTTCCCATCCTCCCTGCTCACCAATCCCCATTCAGGCCTGAGCAAGGAAACTCCAGAGTGCTACCACTCGCCTCTGCTGCCCCACGTGCGGAAGGAGTACACTCGGCACACTCCATTCATCACCTCCTTACACTCCCTCTTCAGAACCTGCAATCATTCAGACCGGAAGAGCTCCCCCTTAATTGAGAATGGCAGTGCTGCTGACGAAGCAGCCAGGGCTTTTGTGCAGTCTACGCTTGTGAAGCTGCACGCCGCTTCCTCCGCCCCCGCTGCTTTAACCGACTACTTGACTTCCGACGTGGGGATCTACATCATGGAAGGCTCGGACATAGTACCGGCTCCACCAGAAGATACGGAGCCTTACGAGGACGAGGCGCGTCCAAGTACGGCAGGCGTGCATGGAGGTAGTAGTACTAGCAGTAGTATCGGTACTAGTAGTCTATCTGTATCAAAGGACGTTGAAGAGGAGAAGGATGGGGAGCGCAATTGGTGGGTGGCCATGGTGGTTGGGCAGACGGGCAAAGGCTCGCAGTCATTCTGTGAGGTTCGGAGCCAGGTGGTCAGCATCCCAGGCCGTGCCATATTGGTCTGAGCAGCTTCAAGGATGAACAGGGCATGTGAATTGTGATGCGGGGTAAAATTGCAGTACGGGTTGGATAAACGCTGTCCAAGTATGGAACATGACGTGTGTGAAGATGGCTCAGGGTGTTCTGCGCATTTGAAACGAAATTCTGGCACTCGTAAAAACTACAAAAAACACGCTGGAATGCAGGGGTTGAACTACAAAATCATGATGATGTCAGCAACTGAGTAGTTTACCCTCTCGGAAGAATGCTATGCTATGGTACCTATGTCTAGATGAAATGAAGTGTCCCTACATGCATGTTGGCATGCTCTGGATGTAAGCTTGGGACAGCAGAGCCTTTTGAACCTGCACACAGCCAGCCACAATGGACATCACATCACTGCCGAAGCAAGCTCAGCCACGAAAAACAACCGCAAACCAACTAGATCTTCTCACCAATGCTGTGAATTTGACAGTGGCAATAGAAGACACTACTGGCATTTCACAACCACAGCCTCCTCCTCATCATCATCATCATCCTCCTCACCTCCAGCTGCTCAATGAACGACACGGCAGCATGCAGCAGCGACGCTATATCACTGCGCGCAGCCACATTGGTAGCGCGCTGCTGGCGCAGCCACGATGCCGGAATGGCCCTCTCCAGCTGCTTGAACCCCGCACTGCACAGAGAGAGAGAGCATAAATAAACAGGAGATAGAACTAGCAAGGATGCACAGGGATCTGAGACTCTGAGGCAGTTTTGTGTGGCAGAAAGTGAGATACTACGAATGTTCGCAGGAGAGTTACCTGACCCGCTGCCGTCTGAGCTTCTCCGTGGCGCTCCGGCGGTGTATCGGCCGCCGCTCCACGCCCAGTTCCCTGCTGCTGCTGCCGCCGCTGCTGCCGCTTGGTGGCGCCTTGGGCGGCAGGGTGGCACGTGCAGGTGCAGGGAGTGCTGCGGGTTGCGGAGGACGTGCTCCCCCCTCTTGCGGTGCTTCAGTCGGAGCGTGTACTGCTGCACGCGCAGGTAGTAACCTGGTAGCAGCAGTGCTGGCCGTGTGGATTGAACCAGCGAATCCAGCAGGAGGAGGAAGAGGAGGAGGAGGAGGAGCAGCAGCAGCAATAGCAGCAGCAGCAGCAGCAGCAGCAGCAGCAGCAGCAGCAGCAGCAGCAGGGGGATGAGTCATCGAAACAGCGACGGAGAGTGAAGCAGGATCTTCCATGCTTATGTCTGGGAGATCCAAAAAGGCACCGCCAGTTTGGGTTAGTGTGGCAGTGGTAGCGGCACAAGTGTAACCCATCTCCAGTGGGACCAGTAGCGCTGTAGGAGGGCACGCCTGAGCAGGAGCAGGACGAGCAGGGCTTGGCACCGAAGAGCTGCCGGATCGAGCGCCCATCGTCACAAGGCGATTCTGATGCGCAGCCGCAGTGCCAGCGGCTGCAGTGCCAGCAGCCGCAGTGCCAGCAGCTGCAGTGCCAGCAGCCGCAGTGCCAGCAGTCGCAGTGCCAGCAGCCGCAGTGCCAGCAGGCGCCTCACCCTCAGATGCAGGCATCACAGCTGCTACTGCCGTTTCTGCCATTGCTGCCGTTTCTGCCATTGCTGCCGTTTCTGCCATTGCTGCCGTTTCTGCCATTGCTGCCGTTTCTGTCATAGCTGCCGTTGGCGGGAACCCAAGGGCGACCAGAGCGGGTTCATCCGTGGTCAAGCCAACAGGCACTGGCAGCAGGAGATCACACACTGGCGGGGCTGCGACGAGGTCCGCCGATGGCCACAGCCCCCCTGGCAGGAACTCAGGGCTTATCAGGGGAACGTCGTTTGGAATGACCCATGGAGTGGGGGCAGTACAGTCCACGTCTTGCCAGCCAGAGCTACCAATACTCCAAGGGCCAGGAAGCTCGTGTGTTGGTAAGGTATGGGGCGGCAGCATGCGCCCCTTGGAGTGAAACCCCTGGGCGGCACAGGTTGAGGACTCGCATTCAGGCGAGCACACGCCGTCTAGAGGCAGTGCTACTAACGAGGCTGGCGACATCATATCGGATGTGTCCATGATAGCAGCGCTGAGGGAAGCCTCTCCCTCTGAACTCATAGCTTTCTGGGAGAGCACTAGAACGCGGAGCTTCAAGCGGAGAGTAATTAGAGTGAGTAGAGTGAGAGTTCCTTCGCCGATGATACTTGAATCCACGCCGGAGGTATCAACTTGAAGTCGCCGCCGCGGGAAACAAGGTGTGAGCCACGATGATGCTGCGCGCAAAGACGCCGCGAGCAAGGATGCGAGCACGGAAAGGTTTGAGTAAAAGTTGCCGGCCGGTGATGATCAGAATGGGCTGTGCAATCCCCGGCCGCCTGAGTAAGTAGCAGTAATATACCGCGATGAGAAGGACGATGAGACGAGCGCAGCAATGGGGGACGCTCCACGCGCAGTGGTGGTACCAGTAGTGGTCCCGTGGTGCCGGGAAGAGGCGAGGCCGCCAGGACGCGGTAAGGCGACAGATGCATGGGACGATGGGAAGGGGAAGCACTGGAGAGTGACATCGGGGGTGTCGTTGACTCGCCTCGGGGCAAGCAGCACGATACGATGAGCACAGACGGCACGGAGCCACGGGCGCCTCGAGATGAGCGAGGGGGGAGGGGAGAGTGAGAGGAGTTGATGGGGTGGGGGGAGAATGGGGAGATCGAGAAGCCTGATTCGAACGATCTCGCCCAGAGTTTCGCCCGGTACTGACGGGACGATCTCGGGATGATCTCGGGACGAACGACGTCGGCGCGCCGACACGTCGCTACCATCATGATAGAGTGTGGCTCAATGAGCCAAGAGTCCAGCGCGGGCTAGTGGCAGCCAGCCAACAAGCCAGCCAGCTAGCCAGCAGTCAGCCAGTCAGCCAGCCATTCTACTAATACCCGACGGCCTACCGACTACTCTAGACGGCGGAACAGCAACTGACAGTTCGAGTCGGGCGGCATCAGGCTGCGAACAATCCACAAGAGCTATCTGCTTGCTCTACAGTAGATTCTAGATCTCGATCAAGATTAGGTCGCACGTTGGCACCATGCCGCCATAGTATGTTCGTTGCAAAGCATGATTCACGACAGTACAAAACCCGCCGAAGCTATCCATGGGTGCACAGCAGGGCTTATGTTATCAGGGCATTTGCCCTGACTTGACTGAAATTCTAAGGTAGTTTTCATACCAGCCCTGATTTCCTCCGGGCTATTTTTCACCAAGCCCTGACAGAATCCAGGAAGATCGTAAGGCCACCCTGGAAACTCCGAGAAGATTTTCAGGTACCCTGATTTTTCCACTACTTGCACCCTCCCTCTCCCGGCGCCCCTCCCTCCCCTCACCCCTTATCTCGCACACTCCTAATACCCGTCACTCTTCTAGGACCTGCCTACCAGGCAACTTGTTGGGAAGGAGTACTCCCCTCATACCCCTAGAACTGACGCGAATCCAATGTGACGCAGAGCCTGGAACAACCTCAAGTAAAATCCGTGGAAATGTGCGCTCGCCGAGCATTTTTCTGGCTGGCCCTGAAAAAACAGAGCAGTATAGCTTCGGACCCTGGGTTTTCAGGGTGAATTTTGAAGGGAGCTCTGAGCGTCAGAGCTGTTCAAAAACCAAACATAAGCCCTGGTGCACAGATCTGTGCGGACTCGCGGGATGGGACTAGGTCGACGCATTGTACTGGCATTCAGATGTACACCAGGTGTCCAGCGAGTCACAGAAAATTGATCGGGCCCACCCCCGAACCTGCGCCCTTTCGCCACCAATCACGGGCAACGACCCTTTCACCTGATGGCCCATTCACCTGGGATTTGTGGCACCTGCGACTCGGAGGAGTCCAGCATGTCCTTGCGAAGAATTTCAAAGAATACGCCCCCCTTCAATTTCCCACAGAAACCGCGCATCGTCGTGACGCACCGTAATGCACCTCTCACATATCTGAAAAGGGGGTATTTTTAGAACTACTTCCTACGCAAGTCAGAAATTCTGACACCAGGTTTACGTTTGTGCGAAACTACCCGTGTCCACTTTATTGCCCATTCTCTCGTGGCGAATGCTCGCGAAATAAGTGTGCGCATTACGCCTACGCGGTTTGTCTAAACCGAGGGCCAGCGGTGCGCACCCGGTGTACGTTACGTTCAGTACATTTGGTGCTCTCACTTTTGCTACGGCTACCATCATCCAGCACTAGGGCTCGGTCTGCTGCTGACGCAGTAGATCAAATATGAGCGAGTGAAAAAGGCGGTGGTATTGGGGCACGTGTTAACAGGGTAACTACTCTGACTTGACTGAAAATACAAGGTGGTTTTATTGACCGACTCTGTGTTTTACAAGGCTTTTTCAAGGCCAGCCCTGACGAACTCAGGGAGATTTTACTACTCACCCGTAGAGTCCAGGAGGACGCGGACACCTGGGTAGCCTCCAGCAGGTGTATGAATATCCCAATGTCCCCAATCCTCCTTCACCCCTTAGCCCTACCCTCCCTTCCCCAAACTTGGGGAAAGTTGTATAAGGGTAGGGATCGAATAGCTTCAATTCGAATATCACCAAGGTTTCTATACGTCTCTATCTGTTGCTGTCGTTTTTAATACGATTTAGTACGGTAAACATTTGAACGAATGTTTCTTGGGAAATGAACCACGCCCTAAGCTGCCAAGGAGCTAGAACTTCACCTGTATTTCCGCACGTACTACTCGATCAATGGTCACTTAGCAGCAGGTTTTAAAATGTGCAGCCACGAACGAATGTTCACGCCACTCAAAATCTCCCCATCCCTCCCCCCCACCCCCCTTCTCCCCGCCCCTCTTTGCCCCTGCTCCTTCACAGGTGCGTTTGTGGTGGCGGATTTTCCATTTCTCCCACTCGCAATCCTACTGTCTCGTCCCTAAAAAAACTGCCCACACTATATCAGGCCTTTTCTAACGCGGATCCTGAAGAATCAGGATAATTTCTTGACAAAGTCGGATTTTACAGGGTGATTTTTCGAGGGGCTCGGATCGTCCGAGGTGCGAAAACTTAGCGAGAGCACCGCCAACCTGGGGCGGGGAGGCATCAGGGCACGCTATGTATGGGCGCAACGGAATCGCGATTTAGTTCGCGAAAGAACTCACGTGGCATTACGGTTACATGCTTGACCATAGGAGCGTGTCGTGATTTGCGATTACAGTATGAGAAAGATATCGCACTGGAGCCTACTGTATCGCACAGAGCCCTGACCTTACTGTGCCAGACCGAGCTGCACCAGAAACCAACAACGACCCTTTTAGGGCAGGCCCTAACTCCGAGCAATTTGCAATTATTTTTCACGAAACATGTTATTTGCTAGGTGCATTATCAAATACTGCTATTATTGTTCATTAAAAAAATATTATAGCCTCTAATTTTACATGAATATGCTCCTGAATTTCTCCATATATATACATTTATTTGTTGAAAAATATCGATTTGAGCAAATGGAATGTCTTTGAGACGAGCTATAGCATATGGGGCATTTGAAAGCGTCCACATAAGATGCTTATCAGCGCTAATCGTAGAGGTTGTAGTTGTGTGTTTGTATAGTATACTGCGCCCCGCTCGAGGCGGGGTTCTCTCTCGCCTTCAGTCCCCTCACCAACTCCCCGACCACAATGTCAAGCCACCACCAGAGTCGATTGAGCTACTGCACGAAAAATTGCCACCTTCTCAACCCGCCGTTTTGCCTCGGAGCCCCCAATATTCCTATCTCGACCAGCTAGAAGGTCCATCGAAAGAGACATTACCCGCCCCAATTCCTCCCTTTCTTTTGGTTACCGTTGTTTCCTTTAAGATCGCTGGAAGGAGGAGCTTTTCCGTGAGCCGCAGCGATGATGGGTCGCGGTGCGCTTTTCGCGCTGGCGACGCTGTTCGCGATCCTTGTAGCCGCCACGCCGCGTTTATCTGTCGCGATGCGACTCACGATTCACTCGGGAGATCGCGAGTGCATATGGCTGTCCACTGAATCGACCCATGGCATGCTCACTGGCAGCGTCGTCGTCTTCGACCATCATGGCTCGTTCCGCGACTACCCCGCTCGGCTGGACGTCACCGTAAGCTGGAACCGCCGTGAATGTTGAAGTCTGCTTTAAAAATCTCGTACCTTTCGTGTCATGCCTCCGCATCCCGCGGTGCCGCCCACTTTCTCTACATGCACCCCACCCTGGCACCACTATATGCCATCACAATTTGTATAAGCATTTCGCGACAGGCTATCCCTGCTATTGTCAATACAAACGTACATGCTTCCTTTCCCCTCTCCCGCTTCCCCACTTCTCCTTTCCCCCAACCCCCCGTTCTCCTCTTCCCCCCCTCCTCCCCCCTTCCCTCCCCCATCCATAACTCCCCCCGCCCGCTCCATCCCCCTTTCCCTTCCTTTCCCCTTTCCCTTCCTTCCCCCTATCCCTCCCCCCCCCCCTTCCCCCTTCCCCCTCCCCCCGCAGATCAAGGATCCGCGCGGGATCGAGGTGTACACGGCGCGCGGGCGCAGCGAGGTGCAGTTCGACCTGCGCGTGGAGCGCGCGGGGCAGTTCGAGGTGTGCCTGAAGAACCACGGGCACGCGCCTGAGTTCGTGGACGTGGTGGCGGAGTTCGAGGACGCCGCCACGTGGAAGCCGCGCAGCGCCGCCGTCACAGGCACGCCGCCCGGGACGGCTGGCGCGCCGAACAAGGACGAGCTGGCCACGGATGGTGAGGGTGGATGCTGGGGGGGGTGGGTGGGATGGGAGGGGGTGTATGTTAGGCTACGTGCTCTTGTGCTCACCATGGAACTCCCTCTTGCTTTTCCCCCCCTCCCCCCTCCATCCGTCCCTCGCTCCCTCCCTCCGTCCCTCCCTCCACCCCCGCGCGCGCAGGCCACATGGAGCAGCTGTTCGACCAGATGTACGAGATCAAGCACGGGCTGCACCGCATGATCGTGGACCAGCGCTTCTTCCGCTCGCAGCTGCACCGCCAGCGAGACAGTGAGACCACCGCCACGCACCACGCACCACAAACCCACCCCTCCCCCCCTCCCCCCCCCCCCCCAAAACCGACCCCCCCCCACCTTCCCCTTCCCCCTCCTACCCCCTTCTCTGCCTGCGCCCCCAGCTCCTCCCTCTTTCACTCCCTTTCCCCCTTCTCCCAGCATCTCTTTCCAACACCCCCCCCCTCCTCCTCCCCTCCCCTTTTCCCCCTCCTCCTTCCCCTTCCTACCCCTTCCCTGCCTGCGTCCCCAGCTTCTTCTGTTGTAAAATATATATATACAACATGCATGCCTAGATTATGAGATGTAGTCATTATCTTTATTGGGGGGTTATTGGTTGGGTTGACCAACCCCACATTTGGGTTGGTCAAGTTTGGATTTGGTCCTAGACATTTGGTTGGCACTATTCCAACCAAATGGTCCTAAGAACCAACCAATCACCAAGCACCACACTTTGTGGTTGCTTGCCCTTCAAGCAACCTCTCCCTTTGGTTTACATTGTAGCCAATCGGAGAGCACCACACTTGGTGATTGCTTGCCCTCCAAGCAACCTCTCCCATTGGTCCACATTATGGCCAATAGGAGAGCTTCTCTTCCAACTCTTCCTTGCTCCTTGTTTGTACAATAGAGCCTCTTGGCTCCCTACTCAATGTACTCTTTTCTCCTGAAAGCTAGTTCCTTCGTCTTCCTCTTTCACTTCCCCCCACCCCCCCCCTTCCCAACTTCTCTTCCCTCCCCCTTCCTTTCGCTCTGTTTTCTCGCTTTCTACCCTCTCCCAGCTTCCTCCTCCACTCGCAACAACAAACTTCGTGTGCCTCCCGTTTCCTCCCCACCTTTCCAACACCCCCATCCCAGCAAATCTAGGATCACAGAACTTTGATTATCTCCTCTCCTCTCCTCTCCCCATACCTCTTTCCCAAAACTAAGCCCGCCACCATTTCGTGTAGCACGTGTCCTCTCACATGCTTCCCACTCCTCTTCATCACCCCACTTCATCTCCCTGCTTCCCTGCTTCCCTCCTCCTTCCCCTTCTCCCCCCCCCATCCCCCTCCCCTCCCCCCCCCAACCCATCATGAACACCCACTCACGTATGCTGCAGTTTTCAGCAGTGGATGCAGTGGTGCCCCCCCTCCCCCTTCCTCTCCACCACATCCCTTCCCTCATCCTTGGCCCCTACTTTCCCTCTCCCACCTCCCCCCCACCACCACCCTCTCTTCCCTCCCTCCCCCCAGCCATCATGAACACGCACATGCGGGTGCTGCAGTTTGCAGCAGTGGAGGCGGTGGTGCTGATCCCCACTTCCGTTCTGCCCTTGCCCTTCTCCCCCATTCCCCACTCCTCACTCCCTACTCCCCAATCCCCCCACTTCCCACCCTCCCCCCAGCCATCATGAACACGCACACGCGGGTGCTGCAGTTCGCAGCAGTGGAGGCGGTGGTGCTGATCCTGGCGTCGGCCCTGCAGGTGCTCTTCCTGCGCCGCATGTTCGACAACAGCGCCAAGCGCGGGTCGGGGCTCACTGGCCTCGTCAACCGCAGAAAGATGTAGTAGAGATGCTGTGAGATATGGAGAGATGCAGAGAGATACGGAGAGATGCGTAGAGATTAAGAGAGCTTTGAAGCTTTAGGCCGTGCTGGTTGGAGGGGAGAGAGAGCAGGTTGCGAGGCTCTCATCAGATGAATGTAGGGTAGGCCGTGCCGGGTGGACGAGAGATACCACTTCAGGGATGGAGGTGTGGTGAAGCTGTTTTTACAGGGAGGGGAACTGGGTTTGAGAGGAAGGGTGGGCTGTAACAGGAAGGCAAGGAGAGAGGAGGGGGGAGGAAAGCGTTCAGTTTAGTGAGGTGGGGTTGCAACTTGGTTTGTGGCACTTACTGTTGGGTGTGCCAGCAGCAGTATATTGATAATCCTACAAAGATGTGTCAACAAATATTGGACCTTAGGATTGATGTCTCTGAGAGTGAAGTCTGTCAACTCATACATACGGTATGCTGTATGTAGAAGTTACAGGCTAGCCTAGGTGTGTGCTTCTAGTGAGTGCAACCCCAACAGGTATATGTTCTAGGTTTCTCACACTAGTGATTCTACTTGCATTCTAACATGGTATCACGAGTAGGTTAGGTCCACCCGCCCGCTTCCGCCCGCGCCCTAGCCTATTCCCCCCCCCCCCCCCCCTACCTAGACCTCGCGCCCGTCCGGCCCGTAGCGCCTCCCAACCCGTAGCGCCCGCCCAACCCGTAGCGCCCGCCCGGCCCTTAAGCGCCCGCCTGGCCCCGTCGCGCCACCCTGGCCCCTAGCACCCGCCCGGCCCTTAAGCGTCCGCCTGGCCCCGTCGCGCCTGCCTGGCCCCTCCGCACCACCCTGGCCCCTAGCGCCCGCCCGGCCCGTAGTGTCAACTTATACATATTAGCTATGTAGAAGTTATAGGCTAGACTGAGGTATGCTTCTAGTGAGTACAACCAACTAGTATTTGTTCTAGGTTTCCACCTCTAGTTATCATTCCTTCTCACGTTAACATGGTATCACGCGTAGGTTAGCATCCCCGACCTACCGCTTCCGCCTGTACCCTAGCTAGTCCTTGTCGCGCCTCCTAGCCACGTCGCGCCCCTCCTGGGCCCCGTCGCGCCACCCTAGCCCCTTCGCGCCACCCTAGCCCTGTCGCGCCCCTCATGTGCCCCGTCGCGCCTCCTAGCCCCGTCGCGCCCCTCCTGGGTCCTGTCGCGCCACCCTAGCCCTGTCGTTCCCCTCCTGGGCCCCGTCGCCCCACCCTAGCCCCGTCGCGCCACCCTAGCACTGTCGTGCCCCTCCTGGGCCCCGTCGCGCCTCCTAGCCCCGTCGCGCCACCCTAGCCTCGTCGCGCCCCCTCGCCCTGTCGCGCCCCTCCTGGGCCCCGTCGCCCCCTGCCTGGCCCCGTCGCGCCCTGCCTGGCCTCGTCGCGCCCGCTCGGCCCCGTCGCGCCCTGTCTGGCTTCGTCGCGCCCGCCAGGCCCCGTCGCGCCCTGCTTACCCCCGTCGCGCCCTGCCTGGCCCCGTCACGCCTGCCTGGCCCCGCCGCACCTCCCTGGCCCTGCCGCGCCTTCCTGGCCCTGACGCGCCTGCCTGGCCCCGTCGCGCCCGCCTGGCCCCGCCGCGGCCTGCCTGGCCCCGTCGCGCCTGCCTGGCCCCTCCGCGCCTGCCTGGCCCTGCCACGCCTGCCTGGCACCGCCGCGCCTTGCCTGGCCCCGCCGCGCCTGCCTGGCCCCGCCGCGCCTGCCTGGCCCCGCCGCGCCTCCCTGGCCCCGCCGCACCAGCCTGACCTCGCCGCGCCTGCCTGGCCCCGCCACGCCTGCCAAGCCCCGCCGCGCCTGCCTGGCCCCGCCGCGCCTGCCTGGCCCCGCCAGCACCTGCCTGGCCCCACCGCACTTGCCTGGCCCCTTCGCCCCGGCTCGTCCTGCCGAGCCGCCTCGAGCTCCGTCTCCTCTGCTCGCTCGTGCTGAGGCGCTTCGCGGCCGCCGTGCTGGAGGGGGCTGTCGCTGTGTTCCTACGTCGCTGTGTTCCTGTGGAGCTGTGCCGCTGACCCTGCACGATGGCGGACTTCGTGCTCCGACTGGACGCCGAGGGCCATGCGGTTGACTTCGCCGCCTGGCTCTCCGATCTCTACCGCCACCTTACAGGTCAGCGCCAGGATGGCCACTCCTTGGTTGTCCATGTAGACGGCTTGCTCCCCCGCCCCCCCGCACCTGCTCCCCTCCCTACTGATCCCTCCTCTGATGACCGTGAGACCTTCTCTACTGCTGCGCTTGCCCGTGCGGTCTGGGACTCCCGCGATGCAGTCGCTCAGGTTGCCATTAGCCACGCCCTCCCTGTCTCTGAGCGCTCGCGTTTTGCTACTATTGAGACAGCCAAAGCTTACTTAGACGCTGTTATTGCTCGCTATTCCACACCCGCGTCTGCTTCTGCTAGTCGCCTGCTCTTCCCTATGCTTTTCCCATACCTTGCAGCTTTCCCTACCGTCGCAGATTTTGCCACTCACCTGCGTACCCTAGAGACCCGCTATCGCACTGCCAGCACTGCTGCCCAGCTCACTGCGCTCCCCCCCCCCCTTTCTGCATGATGCTCTATTTTATCGCCATGCGCCTGCCAGACCGCTTCGCTAGTGCTCGCGATCACTTCCTTAGCCAGCACCCGGGTGACCTCACCCTCACCGCCTTTGTCGATACCCTCACCGAGATCGAGACTCGCCAGCGCACTATCGCTCAGTCGAGCGGTGCGCCGGCAGTTTCTATCTTTCACGGTTGTGCCCCCTCCCAGTGTACGTTCACTGACGTTTCGGCTGCGGTCGCCTCGGCGGCCCCTCTCACCGAGACGGCTGGTGCGGTCCACCCGCAGCAGCGCTCGCGCCGCGGTGGCCGTGGTCGCCAGGGAGGTAGGGGTGGTGGCGCTAGTGGTGGTGACGGTAGTCCGCCTGCGGGGACTACCACTGGTGGGCAGGAGCAGCAGCCCCAGCCGCAGCAGGAGCAGCCCCAGCCGCAGCCGCCGCCCCAGCAGCAGTCACCGTCCCAGCAGCAGTCGCCGCAGCAGTGGGCTCGTCTCCCGCCTGGTTGGCCCGGCACCTCCGGAGGTAGTGGCCGTGGTGGCGGCCCGCGCAGCTTAGCGTCTACCGGCGGCTCCGGTGCTGTCACCTGCCAGTACCAGCTTCAGACCGGGCCTCTTCGCGGCACACAGTGCCGCCGCCCGCACCCGACCGCCCGCTGTTTCCGCCGCCTCGACGATCTCTTTCATCGTCGCTTTGGCCCGGCCCCGGACGTCCCCGACTGGCACGTCCTGCTCCGCCAGGGCGTGCCGATCTTTGAGTTAGATATGGATCAGATAGGTGCTGCTTTGCATGCTTTGTATTCTGACGCTTCTAGTTTTGCTAGATCTTATTACCCTGTGTACTCTAGTTTAGGTGTTGCACCACTGTGTAGCTTAGCCTCCCCTGCTGCGTCAGGCGTAGGACTGCCTAGGTTGCCTAGTCTAGTCGCTACACTGGCTCTGTCCACGGCCTCCGCCACTGCGTCGCTGTCCTTCACTCTCGACTCCGGTGCTTTTGCCTGCTTCTTCCGCGACCGCTCCACGCTCACGCCGCTTGCTGCACCTGCTATTGTCTCTCTCGCTGACCCCTCTGTAGCTCCTGTCGTCGCGCGCAGTTCTACGTCCCTTCCCTGTCCAGTAGTTCCCTCGGGCTCCCTTACTGGCCTCCACGTTCCCTCGTTCTCGAGGAACCTGGTTGGTGTCGGCTGTCTCCAGGACCTCGGCGTCACCACGTCGTTCCCCGGGCACGAGCGGTTCGCTGTCTGTTCTGAGGCTGTCTCAGGTTCCCCCCTTGGGACGTTCCCCCGGGACCCGGTGTCCGGTCTGTTTACCCTCGACATCGCTTCCCCCCCGGTTGGTGCGTCCTTCCAGGTCGCTCTAGCTTGCTCGTGTCGGTCCCTCACTCACCCGTCCCTTCTCTGGCACCACCGCATAGGTCACCCTGCTCTCCCGCGTCTGCGTTACATGTCCCAGCACGGTCTTGTCTTAGGTCTCCCCGCGTCGCTCCCTGCACTTCCTCCCTCAACTGCTCCACCGTGCACGCCTTGCATCGAGGGTCGGCTCCGCCGTGCTCCTCACTCCTCCTCGCTGCGCCCTGCTACTGCCCCCCTTCAGACCCTGCACCTGGACGTTTGGGGCCCTGCCCCCGTCCCCAGACCGCGCGGTGAGCGCTACTTCCTTGTGCTCGTCGACGACTACACGCGCTACACCACGGTGTTTCCCCTGGAGCGGAAGGCCGACGTGCCTAACGTTCTTCTCCCGTGGGTTGTGGCTGCGCGTCTCCACCGCGGTCTCCCCGTGTTGTGTCTCCACTCCGACCGTGGCGGCGAGTTCGCCTCTGGTCGGCTTGGACAGTTCTGTCGTGCGGAGGGCATCACCCAGTCGTACACCTTGCCGGACTCGCCACAGCAGAATGGGGTTGCTGAGCGCCGCATCGGCTTGGTCATGGAGGTCGCCCGTACCTCCATGATCCATGCCGATGCCCCCCATTTTGTGTGGCCGTTCGCTGTTCGCTACGCTGCTCACCACCTTAACCTGTGGCCACGCTCCCAGCGGCCGCAGGTTTCGCCGACCCTCCTTTGGACCGCGTCCCCCAGTGACGCGTCTGCATTCCACGTCTGGGGCTGCCTTGCTCACGTTCGTGCCTCTGGCACGGACAAGCTCACTGCCCGCACTGTCCCCTGTGTCTTCCTCGGTTTCCCCCTGGACTCGTCTGACTGGCTTTTCTACCACCCGCCGTCTCACCGCTTCCTCCACTCTCGTGACGTCACCTTTGACGAGTCCATCTCCTTCTACCGCCGCTTCCCTCACCGGGGTCTCCCAGTTGCCCCCCCCCTGTTCCTTGCTCCCTCTCCCCTGGTAGCCCCTGCCCCTCTCCCGCCTCGTCCTGCCCCGTCTGGTGTCTCTCACGTCACTCCCCTCCCGTCGGTTGTCCCCGTTGAGGAGTCTGCTGACTTTGGTGGTACCTTCGGTCTGTCCTTGCCGCGTCCCCCTTCCCCGGTGCCTCCACCCCCCCTACCGCAGTCGCCGACCCCGCTGCAGCCGCCGCCGCCGTCGCCGCCGCAGCCGTCACCGCTGTCGCCGCCGCCGCAGCCGTCGCCGCCGCAGTCGTCGCCGCCACTGCCGCCGCCGTTCTTGGCCCCAAGGGGTGCTGGTGTGGAGGAGGGTGTTCGTCCTGCGGCTTCTGGGGGTGCCGCTGGTGTTGGCGGGGGTTCTCGCTCTGGGGGTGTTGGTTCTGGGGTTGCTGCTGTTGAGTGTTCTGCCGACGGTCGTACTGCCTCTGCTGGTCCGAGAGTTCCGGCCCAGCCGTCGTCGCCGCCGCAGCAGCCGTCGCCGCCGGTCTTCGCTCTCCGCCTGCTCGGCCTTCCCTCCCCGGACCGCGCGACGGTGTCTCCCCCACCGCCTGCTGACCTCCCTGTTTACAGCCCTGTGTTCCCGCCGCCGGACTCGTCTCCGGCCCGTCTTCCTCCTCGTTCCCCTCCTGTGTCTCCTCCGCTGTCCCCTG